CTCCTCTACACATATTGAGTGAACCATTCAGAAACACTATTTAGGAGGCAGGAACGTTTATTCTACATTTACGTAACACCGCACTAAATACACCTATCTCTCACTCTTGTTACACACAGGACCAAAATACACCTATTCCTCTCCATACGGGATAACTATAGCGGGTGAGAGGAGCCAACGTGCTGTCTGACCCACGATGTAGACATAACACTTGGATTCCACTTCACCTGCAGACAGCCCCAATACGTGATCGGAGCTCTCCTTTTATCCTTCACCGGCGCGGCCTGGCTCCACCCTCGGCCACGCCCACCTCTGGAATATTCTCGACGGTTCCAAGCTATTCTGACTCTGTCTCCTCGACAGACCTGTTCTCCACCTGAGGACGGCTGCTTGCGTTGTGGCCGAAACGTCGTGAGAATTGTATTTTATTATGTTTTATTATTTTATTATTTCCATTCTATGTGACTTTACCGAAAGAACCAACAAGATGAATTCCAGGCTACACCGCGCCTGTTCCCTCTCTGGCTCCGCCCTTAATCACGCCCCCTTCGGGAACTTTCCAGACGATTGTCAGCTACTCTTCCAGTGTCCCCGCGTCCACCCTTGGCCCACACGGAATTGATTTCTCTAAGACGATGGTACTTTGCAAGCCTACTGGCTATCAACAAAGATTCGTTCGTGAAGCCATCCATATATACAGACACAGACACAATTTCCACCGAGAGGAAGGTCATAGACTCAGCAAGCATTGGTAAGATGTCATCAACCACTTTGGGTCATGACTTGACTTGTGTTTTCTTGTCAATCAATTTCCCCCGTCAGCAGTGTGGTGTGTGGAGCGGGGTGAAGGGATTTGCTGGTGGCCCTTTGCTGCATTGGCATTGCTGCTGCATTGGCATTGCTGCTGCATTGACATTGCTGTTGCATTGGCATTGCTGCTGCATTGGCATTGCTGCTGCATTGGCATTGCTGCTGCGTTGGCATTGCTGCTGCGTTGGCATTGCTGCTGCATTGGCATTGCTGCTGCATTGGCATTGCTGCTGCGTTGGCATTGCTGCTGCATTGGCATTGCTGCTGCATTGGCATTGCTGCTGCGTTGGCATTGCTGCTGCATTGGCATTGCTGCTGCGTTGGCATTGCTGCTGCATTGACATTGCTGCTACATTGGCATTGCTGCTGCATTGGCATTGCTGCTGCATTGGCATTGCTGCTGCGTTGGCATTGCTGCTGCATTGGCATTGCTGCTGCGTTGGCATTGCTGCTGCGTTGGCATTGCTGCTGCATTGACATTGCTGCTACATTGGCATTGCTGCTGCATTGGCATTGCTGCTGCATTGGCATTGCTGCTGCGTTGGCATTGCTGCTGCATTGGCATTGCTGCTGCATTGACATTGCTGCTACATTGGCATTGCTGCTGCATTGGCATTGCTGCTGCATTGGTATTGCTGCTGCATTGGCATTGCTGCTGCATTGGCATTGCTGCTGCGTTGGCATTGCTGCTACATTGGCATTGCTGCTACATTGGCATTGCTGCTGCGTTGGCATTGCTGCTGCATTGGTATTGCTGCTGCATTGGCATTGCTGCTGCATTGGTATTGCTGCTGCATTGGCATTGCTGCTGCATTGGCATTGCTGCTGCGTTGGCATTGCTGCTACATTGGCATTGCTGCTGCATTGGCATTGCTGCTGCGTTGGCATTGCTGCTGCATTGGCATTGCTGCTGCATTGGCATTGCTGCTGCGTTGGCATTGCTGCTGCATTGACATTGCTGCTACATTGGCATTGCTGCTGCATTGGCATTGCTGCTGCATTGGCATTGCTGCTGCGTTGGCATTGCTGCTGCATTGGCATTGCTGCTGCATTGACATTGCTGCTACATTGGCATTGCTGCTGCATTGGCATTGCTGCTGCATTGGTATTGCTGCTGCATTGGCATTGCTGCTGCGTTGCCATTGCTGCTGCGTTGGCATTGCTGCTGCGTTGGCATTGCGTTCTACTTGATTAAATATACTTTTTAATAAATGTTTTCTCCTACAACATCAGAGTGCAGCGCCACATTAAATACGCACTACAATGACAATAGTTTAAAGCGATTTGAAAAAAAAATTTCGTGACGTCATATTTGAGGTGTGGTCTGACTTTTCTGTGACGCCGTGTGACGAGGGGGGGGGGGGGTAAAAAATCGTCCAAAATCGCACAAAATCGCGTGACGTCATTTATGGACGGCCCCTTAACCAAATTTAGCCGGCCCGGTGATCTTTGCGGCAGAGCAAACGTCTCGCAATTTGAGTTGGCATCCTGGTCGGAGGGGGGGGGGGGGGGGGTTGACTCAGCCCATCATCTCTCCGTGGTCGATACAGCGAAGTACCGCTTTGTGGGGACGTCAACAGTGGATGCCCTGTGGGTAGACTCGCTGAATGTGTAAATCACTGCCTCGGGGCTGTGAGCAGGAGGGGACCAAGCACTGCCTTATCGATGCCCTTTTGCACACGGAACGGCGCTGACTTTGAATGAAACGAGAAGCGCCTGGGGAGGCTGCTGCACCGCTCGGTGAGAAGTTGTGAGCAGCGTTTGTCCCGTGGCTACACTGATCTCTGCCCATGGGAACTTGGAGTTTTCACCACCAGCTCAGGGTTATTAGTGTCGCTGTGTTTGAAGGTATGTGGGGTGGGGGTGGGGGGAGAGGTGAGAAAAACACAACAGGAGTATAAAGTATAGGAAAGTAAACACGTCATTTAAAATATATACAAATGAAACTAATCTCTTTTTTTTCTTACCAAGTAAAGCCCTCTAAGCTATTTGCTTTTTGTGTCAGAAGCGACCTGGCCACAATGATAGCTCAACAAAGTGGCTTATCATGTGGGAATGTATAGCAGCAAAATAATAAAAATAATGAAAATGCATGTTTCAACGTATCACAGACTGTACACGATTTGTGAAACACGAAGTGGATTGAATGACGACGCGATCTGCTTCTGCCTTCGGTGCATTCTGCTGCGGTTCCCACCTCCTGTGTTATATGACGGGCGCGTTCCACGTTATAACGACGTGTTCCTCGTTATAACGGCGTGTTCCTCGTTATAACGACGTGTTCCTCGTTATAACGACGTGTTCCACGTTATAACGACGTGTTCCTCGTTATAACGACGTGTTCCTCGTTATAACGACGTGTTCCTCGTTATAACGACGTGTTCCTCGTTATAACGACGTGTTCCTCGTTATAACGACGTGTTCCTCGTTATAACGACGTGTTCCTCGTTATAACGACGTGTTCCACGTTATAACGACGTGTTCCTCGTTATAACGACGTGTTCCTCGTTATAACGACGTGTTCCTCGTTATAACGACGTGTTCCACGTTATAACGACGTGTTCCACGTTATAACGACGTGTTCCTCGTTATAACGACGTGTTCCTCGTTATAACGACGTGTTCCTCGTTATAACGACGTGTTCCTCGTTATAACGACGTGTTCCTCGTTATAACGACGTGTTCCTCGTTATAACGACGTGTTCCACGTTATAACGACGTGTTCCACGTTATAACGACGTGTTCCTCGTTATAACGACGTGTTCCTCGTTATAACGACGTGTTCCTCGTTATAACGACGTGTTCCTCGTTATAACGACGTGTTCCTCGTTATAACGACGTGTTCCTCGTTATAACGACGTGTTCCTCGTTATAACGACGTGTTCCTCGTTATAACGACGTGTTCCTCGTTATAACGACGTGTTCCTCGTTATAACGACGTGTTCCTCGTTATAACGACGTGTTCCACGTTATAACGACGTGTTCCACGTTATAACGGGCGCGTTCCACGTTATAACGGCGTGTTCCTCGTTATAACGACGTGTTCCTCGTTATAACGACGTGTTCCTCGTTATAACGACGTGTTCCACGTTATAACGACGTGTTCCTCGTTATAACGGGCACGTTCCGCGTTGTGCGACAAGTGTTCCCGTATGGAAGAACCGCGTTTTAGTGAAAACAAACAAAACATCTCGTTTTACTCTTTAATTACAATCGTGCTATCGGCATCATGTCACGAGATGAAGTCTCCGATCTCTCGCAGTGCAATGCAGAACAGCCTGCAGAAGGAGACATCATAGAACTACTTTCGAGGTGTCGCTGAGTAACATTCTCCAAGCGGCAAAATGCCAGAGCTACAGTTCAGCCAAATCAAGTGACAACCTAAATGTCAGGTGTTGCTCTAGAGAGCCGTTTGAAGCATGCACAAACAAAATATCGAGTGCTATTCACAGCGCGGAAATTGAGTGATGTTAAGCTGAAGCTAATTCAATATTGCGGGGGGTTTTCTTGGGTGCAATATCTATAATCAGACTGATACAGTGATCTCACGGGTAGACACGATGAACGTTTATTTATTGCAGCTGTCACTGATTGACCGGGTCTACGACCACCAACTCACACAATCCTCGTGAACGTGGATGAATCACGCGCGGCAGACTGCGACATTCAGCTTCGTAACCCAGAACTCCAGCGGCACCTGCCGATACTTTAAACCTGCGGGCGGCCAGCCACGCAGTGCCCTCTGAGCAGAGAACGGCTTCAGCATTGAAACTAAAACTTTTATTTTATTTCAGAAGCGATCTGGCTATCACAAATGCCAGCTCGACGAAGCGGCTTACCACGTGGAAATGTATAGCAGCCAAATACTTGATAATAATAAAAAAAATATGAGAATGAAAAACCGTAGGATTCTAGATTTGAAGCTTTCGTGACTGCAAGGATTCATATTCTTAGGTTTTTTTCGGTAAAGTCACGTAGGTAAAAAATTCAAATTCATAAAAGTAAAATTAAAAATAAAATAAAAATCATTTTTATTTTACTTTTATACATTTTTATTTTTTACCTACGTGACTTTACCGAAAAAACCTAGAAATGAAAACCATAGGACCCAGTGAAAAATCCATTGCTTGAACCAACGCTGACCATGCCCTCCCCCCCCTCCCGCTACGCCCCACGCCCACCCACTGGCAGGTCGGCGCAACAATTTTCGACGCTCTCGAGTCCAAGAACGAGGAGGTGGAGAGGGAGAGGCTACAGAAGCGAGAGAATCTCCTGCGAGGCAAGTACAACGTAAGCAGCGACGACTGGAGGGAACTCGAGCGAGTGGTCATGCTGTCGGAGCCGCACAGAGCCGGCGTGCAGTGGAAGTTCGCCGGGTCTTTCTACTTCTCCATCACCGTCATCACCACCATCGGTAAGGGGTGGTTGCTGTTCACGAGCCCTATGATGGGGTGTGCAGCTCGCTGTCACCCCCCGCCACTCACGCCCTAGGTGAACACCGGCACGCGTGCACGAATTGAATTCCCGTGGGACGCAATCGTAGCGGGTGTCGATAGAAATTGACATCCCACGTGCGATAGAACGCACCTCCGATTCGTGTCGCCCGATGTATCGCTCCGCGCGCCTGTCGCTCTGCACTACAGCTCCTGTCACCCCGCACCACAGCTCCTGTCACCCTGCACTACAGCTCCTGTCCCCCTGCACTACAGCTCCTGTCACCCTGCACTACAGCCCCTGTCACCCTGCACTACAGCTCCTGTCACCCTGCACCACAGCCCCTGTCTCCCTGCACTAAAGCTCCTGTCACCCTGCACTACAGCCCCTGTAGCCCTGCACTACAGCTCCTGTCACCCTGCACCACAGCTCCTGTCACCCTGCACTACAGCTCCTGTCACCCTGCACCACAGCTCATGTCACCCTGCACTACAGCTCCTGTCACCCTGCACCACAGCTCCTGTCACCCTGCACCACAGCTCCTGTCACCCTGCACCACAGCCCCTGTCACCCTGCACTACAGCTCCTGTCACCCTGCACTACAGCCCCTGTCACCCTGCACTACAGCTCCTGTCACCCTGCACCACAGCCCCTGTCTCCCTGCACTACAGCTCCTGTCACCCTGCACTACAGCTCCTGTCTCCCTGCACCACAGCTCCTGTCACCCTGCACCACAGCTCCTGTCACCCTGCACCACAGCTCCTGCCACCCTGCACTACAGCTCCTGTCACCCTGCACTACAGCTCCTGTCACCCTGCACGACAGCTCCTGTCACCCTGCATCACAGCTCCTGTCACCCTGCACTACAGCTCCTGTCACCCTGCACCACAGCTCCTGTCACCCTGCACCACAGCTCTTGTCACCCTGCACTACAGCTCCTGTCACCCTGCACTACAGCTCATGTCACCATGCACTACAGCTCCTGTCACCATGCACTACAGCTCCTGTCTCCCTGCACCACAGCTCATGTCACCATGCACTACAGCTCCTGTCACCATGCACTACAGCCCCTGTCACCCTGCACTACAGCTGTTGTCACCCTGCACTACAGCTCCTGTCTCCCTGCACCACAGCTCCTGTCACCATGCACTACAGCTCCTGTCACCATGCACTACAGCCCCTGTCACCCTGCACCACAGCTGTTGTCACCCTGCACTACAGCTCATGTCTCCCTGCACCACAGCTCCTGTCACCCTGCACTACAGCTCCTGTCACCCTGCACCACAGCTCCTGTCACCTTGCACTACAGCTCCTGTCACCTTGCACTACAGCCCCTGTCACCCTGCACCACAGCTCCTGTCACCCTGCACTACAGCCCCTGTCACCCTGTACTACAGCTCCTGTCACCCTGCACCACAGCTCCTGTCTCCCTGCACTACAGCTCCTGTCACCCTGCACCACAGCTCCTGTTTCCCTGCACTACAACTCCATGGCAGCCACCACTGTCTGCAATGCGGCCATCGTAGTCCTGCTGCTGCTGCAACATTCGCCCCTGCAGCATCAGCAGCGTTCAATTTACGCCGACTTTTAAGAGGCACTTAAAGCCTCCCCCCCCTCCCCCCACCTCTGTCTATCGCCTGGCTTTCGAGCGGCACCAAGCCTCCGCTCCATTCCCCAGCGTCACGGTCATTCGTGTGCGTGAAATATTGCGCGCGTTACAAAAAAATCACATCATTATTATTTGCATCGCAATGCCGACCGAGGCAAGTGCTGCCCGGATGATGTTACATGACCGCAGTTGAGAGCGTTCCCAGTCTCATTAGGGATCAGCGCCAGTCGTCACAGCGTAACCCGAACTACTCGATTTCGGCTATTAATTTGTACACTGATTGTTGTGTTTGGTTTGGGGTCTTTCTCCTGCACCTCCGGTTAGCGCGGTTGGCTACGAACGGTGCGAAAGAAGTCCAACATACGCGCATACACTGGCAAATCTATACCTGCATATAGCGCTCATCTGTTGCATGGGATTGAGTGAGCCCGTGCCCTTGGATTCATCGGTCATCCGCCCCTCCTCGTCCTTCACGTTCATATCGCAACAACAACAACAACAATAAAAACGCTCTTCGAGTCGGCCAAAAAATGTCTTCAACATACCTCGGCTCCACCCGGCTACCTCATGAGCACGTGCACCTTTGTTACCACCCCCCCCCCCCCCCCCCGTTCGTCGTGACCCCTCTCGCCGCGCAGGCTACGGACACTCTGCCCCCGGCACCACGGAGGGCAAGGTCTTCTGCATGTTCTACGCGCTGCTGGGCATCCCGCTCACGCTCGTCATGTTCCAGACCCTCGGCGAGCGGATGAACACATTCGTGAAGCACCTCCTGGAGCGCCTCAAGTGCTGCCTGGGTCTCCGCGAGACAGAGGTGTCCACGCAGAACATGGTGACGGTGGGGCTGCTGTCGTGCGCGGGCACGCTGTGCATCGGCGCGGCCGCCTTTTCGCATTTCGAGGGCTGGACCTTCTTCCAGGCGTACTACTACTGCTTCATCACGCTCACCACAATCGGCCTGGGCGACTTCGTGGCACTGCAGAAGAACGACTCGCTGCAGCGGGAGCCTCCCTACGTGGCCTTCAGCTTCATGTACATCCTCGTGGGCCTCACGGTCATCGGCGCGTTCCTCAACCTCGTGGTGCTGCGCTACCTCACCCTCAACACCGAGGACGAGAAACGCGACTCCAATGAGCGAGAGTCCCTGCGCCTGGCGGCGGACAACAACCACCAGCAGCAGCAGCAACAGCAGCAGCAGCATCAGCAGCAGTACGTCATCGACGGAGAAGAGACTCGCAGCAACGGGAAGGCGGTGATCATGCCCACGGCCACCACCACCGCCACCAGCATCAGCAGCGGCACGAGCAGCGGCGTGGGTCGGTACCACGGCGCCGCGGCGCGCAACGAGGCCGGGCTGCGCTACGCGTGCCCCCAGCGGGGACACGTGGAGCGGCTCTCCCCGCCGTCTCGGCCGTCGGCGCCGCAGCAGCAGCAGCAGCGCCTCAACAGCAGCGCAGCGGCGCTGGTGCACACGGGGGCGTCAGCGTCGCACCTCGACGCCGGCTTCGGACGGAGCTCGCGGGGGGCCCCGCCAGGCGAAGAGCCCCCCACGCCGCCGATGGCCTCGTCCGCGCTCAGCTCGTGCTCGGGCCTCTGCGGCTCATGGAGGGAGTGCAGCGGTAGCAAGTGGAGGCTGCTGGGGATTAGGCGACGCTCGCTTTGATGGCGGTGGAGCGTACGGTGCGCGCTGTGTGTGTGTGGCACACGTGTGTGTGTGTGCGATTGTGGCATACACACGCACACACACACGCGTTTTTGTGTGTGTGCGTGTGTGGCATACACGCGTTTCAACAGAGAGTTTCCCGCGGTGACGGTGAATGCTGAACGCGATCGCGTTCCTCTGCATGGCAGTGTTGCCTGCACTTACGAAGCTGTGACTTCAGACGACTTACGTGATGAAATTGAAGCGGTTGAATGTTCCCCGCCACCCCCCCCTCCCTACGCAATCCCTCATCTCCGCCTCCAATTTGAGCTCTCAAACGCGACGGCATTACAAGTTTGAAACTGTAAAAATAAACCATTGACTTTGTTTTAGATCTTTAGAAGCACACATGCGGGTAAGAGAAGATTAAGAATGAAGGTGGCGCAAGGTTCTTTAAATCTACAAATGTATTTAATATTTTGTTTAAACCACTTGAGAAACCAAGAGACAATGAGAGTCGCGTTTTCAAGGGTGACCTTGGGGATACGTCTACCGATAAGTGGCGATGATTGCTGCGCTAAATTCCAATTGAGTAATTTGCGGGGTCATTTTTGTTTTTCGTTTTGCCAAATTTGGACTCAGACGCCAGCACTTACGAATGTCCTTCTCGCGCAATTTAAGTCAGGACATGTTTAAGGTCCAACCGCGTAGTATTATGATGGTTATTACACCTGCAGTATCAACCAGGGTGGCCACTGGATTCGAACCGCGAACATCTGCAACAAGTAGGCCACTTCAAGCCGCCAATAATGCATTGAAGTAAACGTAAATGTAAAGCGGTTTTTCGCCGATTGACACATATTGCAGCTCGCAGCATGGATCCACGCTTATGAGGACTCATCAGTGGGCCAGCCATAGCCAAGTAAAAGAATCAATGATCTCCCAAAGTGTGTGTTTTTTTATATATCGGTCAGATAACCACATGAGCCATGGGGCACCCATTACCATTGCAGCAACGTTGGAAAACCATCCGTCACGCTGCCTGAGCGATGTATAATAGCGAAACTAGAAAGGCTGAAAAATTATTTAACCATTTTATCTTTTTTTATAGGCTTCTTCTGACGGCGTGAAAACGCAGTGGGGTACCTTAAGCTCAGAATGAATGCTCACGCACATATCTTGCACTGTGCGTTGCTGCCGTCCCGTGGTTCGCGTATGGATTGCACGCGGCATGTTGTTTGAACCAACAGCACGAGCATGGCTTAGTCCGCTCACTCGAAGCTCAGACTGTGTGGGCCGTGCCTGGGTGGCGTTTTGTGATTTAAGCCCCTTTAGCCATGGGCCTGGAGATTGCTTCTAGGCACCACCCAAGGGTGGCAAATGCTAACGCATAATATTTTTTAAAACAAGTGATCACACAAGTCCAACGTTGTAGCTTTTTTTGAAAGAAGAAAAATTTAATTATTTGGGCACCGTCATGTGTTTGATATAGAATATAATTTTATAAGAGAGAGAGAAAAAAAACCGGTCGTGATATGAAACATCGATGGAATACGACAATGAATAGCAAGTGTGTGTATATTAAACAGGCGGTCAAAAAAAAAAACGCTTCGCTTTCTGCCCAAGGACGGATACTGCCCATTGATGGACACTTGACAGCATTTGCTACCCCAGCTGGTACCGGACATCCCTTGGCGAACGGGCTCATAGAGTGGGCAACCGCGCACGAAGGTGACAACCATAACGATCTCGGTCAACGGGCCCGATGATGCAATTAACCCACGTGGCCCACTAGAGCTCGATTGGGACATTTAAGTTTGTGTTGCACCTAAGGCGACGTTTCGCGCGCGTCATTTGAAAGACGCTTTCACGTTGGACGTTTCCCAGATATTGACGGGTTTTATTGAGCGAGGGCAATTGATGGTTTCGCGATTGTGTGTATTGTTTTAGTTGTTGTCCTGCGTCCTCAAAGTGCATCGCCATGTATCCCACGCACGTGTGGTTTGTATTTTACATTCGTATTACCGGACCATATTCTCTGAATTGTGAGATACACCTCCATCCCGCCTAATTTAAAGCAAGCGTGCGGGGGCGAGTGTTATAATTTGGTTAATGTCGTTGTGCAATGTGTGTTTGCGTGTGAGACCACATTTATTTTACTGCATTGAAACCGGGCATGTGTCTGCATTGCGTATTACTTTTCCAGAGCTCTTATAATAATCCGGAGAATTCGGCAATCATCATGGAAACAGCTTCGGCTCAGGGTCTTGCTATTCACGTTGAATGACTCATCTCCAACTTGGCGTCAGAGAAATTATGATACGGGCGACAAAAGGCAAACGTTTAACAAACAACGATCCAAACAACAACAGCCCAAACAACAACAACAACAGCAACAGCGCGCGTTATACTAAATCCCTGCCAGCACAAACGTCCCCGAACGCAGGGGAAGAATGGCGAATTAGAACTGTGGGGTTGGTGGGAGCGGGGATAAGAGAGGGGAGGAGGGAAGCTGAGCAAGGGCAGGAGAGTGAGAGAGAGAGTAATCGAGAATGGGCCTCTGAAGGCGCAGGGGATAAGCGAGGGAGGTTGTTAGGAGATAATTTAACGTAGAGGGAGGGCGCATGTGGAGGGAGTTCCAAAGGTTGGGGGCACAATAGTTATGTAGTACATTGGCATTCTTTTTAATTAATAATATATTATGTATGTTGAACTTCGTTCGCACCGTACGTAGCCAACCGTGCCAATCGGAGGTGCGGGGGGAATGACAACGAACTAAAAACTAAAACTAACTCAACACAAAAAAGCAGTTTTACAGAAGTGCATAGCTCCAGTGGCTTGCTAATATCGGATGTAGTGACTTGCTGTGTATAGACTGGGCACAGGTGTGGTGAGTTGTTGTGTATAGACTGGGGACAGGTGTTGTGAGTTAAGAGATGTAGACAGAGCTTTAAGGACAGAGCGTAATTGACATCGACGTGAAATTGATTGCTATGTTGATTAGCACCTGAATTTGAGCTGATATTTGACGCTTCCAATATTTGTACGTGACGCAAACCTCGGGCTGCTTGGGGGCCCTAAGTTTTGGCTTGGTTCGCTAATGCGTGTGTTGTGTTTAGTTTGTTTTTCCATTACGCTATATCCACTGTAAAATACGTGATTACGTTTGATTTTTTTTTTACAAGCAGCTTTGGTCGTAAAACATAATTCATGTGCAAACCGCTGCAGTGTTTTGTATCCAATAGAGCTTAACACACACACTTTGCTTGTATAGCAAATACAAAGCTCCCACATATTTAGCCTTTAACAGACTGTCGGGGCAAGCGCGTGCCGTCAGCGTGTAGCCATCTATTGAGACCGATACGGCACAAGAGGGGGTGGGTGAGTAGTTTGGTTCGTCCACGTGTTGACGTGTATTTACTTTCACCGCTGCCAACACGCAGTAGCAGCATCACCAAACCACTTGGCATTTGAACAGGAATTGGCGGACCGTGGTAGAGTTCAGTTTGGAATCCCTAGGATACATTTACCGTGTTCTCCTAATTAACAGGACGCAACGGTTTATTGTTTAAATGATGGTACTGTATAGGAAAGCGAAGCGTTAGAGAGTTCCTCTCATAACCCGCGACTGCCTCGTTATGCGTGGTGCCTGACAATTGGCAAATCAACAACAAAACGAACGCGGACGACGAATGCGGTCGCCTTTCGATGAATACCCTCGTCGTGTCATCATTTGCTGCAGATAATCTTGGGAGAGCGTGACTGCCAGCAGCTGTTTGCATGCCAAACGCGCGGTTTTGCAGGTTAATGTGACAATATCACCTCTCTCTGCTTGCTCAAACACAGTCGCGCCGTGCCCAGCGAATTCACGGCGTATTTACTTAACCATTGCTGCTCACGGAAATGTTAAGTTAGAGACACAGTTTTGGGCCACCCGCTGCTGGATAAATGGCTCCCCATGCGGCCTTAGTCTCGGGGTTACTGACTACATCACCCCTCGAGTGACGTGCCGGCCTTCACAGGTCGCCAACAACACTTGCCCTTAACAGTTTCCTGAAGACGGCTGCTTGCGTTGTGGCCGAAACGTCGTGAGAATTATTTTATTTTATTATGTTTTATTTTTATTATTTTATTACTTCCCTTCTACGTGACTTTACCGAAAGAACCAAGAAGATGGATCCCTGCAGTCACGAAAACTTTAAATCGAAATTTAGTTTCTTGAAAGTATACGGGGGATTTTTTTCGCATTTTGTTTCACGGATATTGGGCCACATCACTCCATCATGCTGCGCTGGCCTTCATGTGTGCACTCTCCTCTGTCTGTTAAAGGCTACATGGTGGCATTGCGTCTATGTCCAACGTGAATTACTGTGGTGTGTTGCTATCTATACGTCACGTGATACTCACACACACACACACACGGTGTCATCTCCCTGTGTTCCACTCATCAGAATCCGCTCTCCTAAGTCACATGGGACCAATCATCAGGCTTGTGCGGCGTGTATAGACTACATGATGCATGTGAACGCAGATGACCGATACATGTGTCAATACTTTTAGGGGTGGTTGTGCGACACCAGGGTTGCAGTTTGTGAGCCTCTATTATCAGGCGTGGCTCTGCACGTGTCCCTACACATGTCAATTACGCAAGCAGCATGTGACTAAACGTACCGTGCACTCATTAATTTCGCTAATTGCCTCGACTACTGTGAGGACTATCGCATGCCAGTATAGTTCAGCTGCGTGTTCTTTTGTGCAACATTAACCAGAGACCATCAGCACGTTCAAACACAATTCATTATCAGACATTTGGCTGATTGGGCCATTTCAGGAATAATTACACTGGTCAACACACTTTTTCTGGCATAAGGTATTCCAATGGTTTTATAGTAATTTTGGGGTGCTGATTCCAGTTTTTGTCCATCACATCAGGTATTTGAGATATCAAATATTGCACGTTCAATAAAAACTGCAGAAGAAAAATATTAAATAAATGTGGATATCTTCATAAAATGATATTATAAACACACTATCCTAAAAATACAGCACCATATTTTAACACTAAAGCGGTCACTGACTCGCAACAACTTGCAATCATAAGTGACAGAGTTAATTTCGGGTAAAATCAATGAAAATGGGGTAAGCCGATAGCATAATAAGTAAACCCGTAAAAACAAAGTTTTTCACTCTAAATCCTTTATATGCGTGGCGGCTAGAGTCCTCTCGTCCTCTGGCTTGAGATGGCTGCCACCTATGGGTCAGATGATTGTCTGCAGTATTAAACAATTGGTAATTAAATATAATATTTTTGTCCTATAAAGTGTAAAATTTTTGAAAAAAATTTTCACGAACATTAATTGTCATGCACAACGAGTCTGTGTGGAAAATGTCAACTCGATTGGATCATGGGAAGTGGGTTAAAAAACGACCGAAAGATTTACACGGCCGTAAGCAAGCAAGCAAGCACGCAAGCAAGCAAGCGAACTTAATATACATGATTTAAAAATGATGTGATATAGCAAATCTGACATCAGATTTGGAATCAGCACCCTGAAATTAGTCTAAAACAGCTGCAAAAGTCCAGGCCAGAAAAAAATGTTGTTGTTTTGACCAGTGTTATTTATCCGACTGAGCATTGAGCCCACGGCCCAAACATGTCTCATAGGTACCGCTCAGGGTGGCAAATGCTAACAATTATTTTTTCGAAGCATTGTATCTATGGATGGCAGCATCCGCATGACAGCGAAGTTACCGCGGTGGCGTTTAACGAGAGGACAATATAATTGCCATGGGTGACGTGGTGTGCTCGACAGAGAGATATACTCATGTTGTAAGAAAGTAAACGCGCGCAGTGTCATTAGAAACAACTTACGGAATACGAAAATGTGAGAGGAAGCATGTCTATAAACAGACGGCGTGTGTAGGCTGTTTTATGCCCACTCTGGACACTGTCCAAGTTGGACACTGGTAGCATTTGCCACCCCCCAGCTCCCTCTCTGTTCATGGTCTATCACAGGACTTTGTGCGTGAGTCACGCCAGCTCGCCGTTTAACCATGGGACTGGATGACAACATCGAAAGCTCGCCCAGCGCTCAATCGAACGCGCGCGTTTGCGTTGCCTGATTTCTCACCAACTCACCAGGGGAAGAATGCCTTCTTCGGCGTTGAGAAACTCCCCGTGTTTAACAAGAAAAAGAGAAAAGACTTTAAAAGTTGAACCGCCGTAAATGCTCTTCGCCTAGGAGGAGGCGGCGGTGCTACAACGGCTGATGAGTGCGCCCCTAACCCTGAGCCACTTTACAACGGATGAGAATGCTCGACTCCGACTTGCCGCTCGTAAATCTACCAAAGCGCCTCGAGGCGCACGCTACCACGTGTCGAATCGCGTGTGTGTGAATCCACGATGGAGGTTTTTTTTCCCCTTCATTTTATTTCGCGCATTGCATTTAACGGGTGCGCACCGACATTGCAGCCACGTGCGGCCACCACATTGACCGTCAGCGTTCTTGTTTTAAAGAATCAATTATGTCGATGCATATCGCGGCCCCATGAATCGTCGTCACGCCTCGCGTCGTCGCGGACGGGAGCGTGCTGCTCGTGACGAGCAGAGAGTTGGTCATCACCATGGGGTCTCGCGTCGCTTGGATGTGGGTTAATATTAGAGAGGGTCAACACGAAGTCGTTGGTTAGGATCAGTGGGAGGATAAGTACTCATGGCTGTTTGCTTGGAGTTATGGTGAATAAGAGGGCCATTCCTTGTCGCTATAATTTGTTTGGATAATCTGCACTGCTCCCAAACCGCTTGCTTCTCCCCATTTAAACTTAGCACCTTTTCAGTTTCCTATCCGATGTCCGCACCACGTGGTGCGTGTTGTGTGTGTGTGGGGTGCGTGTGGCGCGTGAGGTCATGTGGTGCGTGGGCTCGTGTGGAGTCGTGTGGTGCATGGGGGCATGTGGGGTGTGGGGTTGTGTGGTGCATGGGGTCGTGTGGGATCGTGTGGGTTTGTGTGGGATCGTGTGGGTTTGTGTAGTGCATGTGTTGTGTGGGGTCCTGTGGCGCGTGGAGTCGCGTGGGGTGAGTGTGCTGCTTGTGCCCAGGACGCTGTAACTTGATTGTACATCGGCGTCGTTAACAGAGACGCCATGTGTGTGTGACAAACGCATCAGAATGGCACGGCCTCTCGCAGTGGGTGGCTAAGAGCTCTGGATGGCCGGTTAAATTTTTCTACGTAACTTAACGTAATATTTTGGCGTGGTTCCGCATACTTTGTTTATTTGCGTGGTCAATTTCTACGGGGATCTGCGCGGTTTTCAGAGTTGTTTGTGAGCTCGATTTTGAAAACGCAGTCGCTTTTTACACATTGCGTAATGTTGGCCACTCAATTGCTCCTGAGACCAAAACAATGCCATCGGCATTTGGACTGAGCATCCATTAAATCCTTACACCCCATCGATGCAACCGATCCGACGCGACCGCTGACATCGAGTGCGTCATTGGCGCTCGCCTGCAATAACTTACAGCGTGTGGGCGTTGTTGGATCGCATATGAGATGGGGCAACGTCATGCGCTCGAGATACCTGCAGTTCAAGGTGCTGTCCGTTTGGGGGCAGCACGCACGCAGATTGGCTAAATCGTTCGTGAAAGAGGCCCTCCTGGAAAAAGAAAACTAGCCTTTGCTTGACTTCCTGAGCATTGTCGCGGGTGAACAATTAAATTGATTGTACATATGACTCCGTTAATCTCCGAAATAACTCATTTGTATTTTTCACACTTTGCATACAATTATCGGCATAAGATTCCAATTGCGTGGGTGTTGAGGGCCAGCCCTTGTTTGAAGAGAGGCGCGTTACCCACAGCTAAAGTATCCTAAAAAAACAATTGAGATTTTGAGAGAATGGTCAAATGAACGTATACGTAAATGAGACCTGTAATCAAAAAGGGGAGAGGGTATTTTGGCCGAGCATCTTCCCCCTTTGGCCAGACGTCTCGGAACAGGTGTGAGTCGTGTACCCACAGGAGACGGCTACGCAGTCATTAATTCGATGCACATTGTGATGTATCACAAAGGCTCGTGCCAGCCGAGAAAAATCTGACTTCATATCAACCTCACCATCATTGAATTGCCTGGACCAGCACCAGGAACTGAATGTACGCATTGCACCTCGTCGAATATATCCAGGTTATGTAAAAATGTATGTAAAAAAAAGCTAAGAAAAGTGGGTTGTAATTTAAATAGGGAGAATAAAATTGTAGTTTTTTTTTTCTATATGCTGCAACAATGCACTATTGTACGATGATGTCCTAACTTGCGGTGTGTGTGGGTGACGATGGCGCCACAGAGCGTCAAGGGGGTGTTTCACTGTATTATATAACCTGTAAATGATGCTTGTTTTCTATCAGGCTTTGCAATAAAGAGAGACGTTATTTACGCAGCGACAAAAAGAAACCTGGCTGCGATGCACACAAAAAAACAAATATTTCGCTTTGTTCTCATTCAGCGCTCGGAGTTGGCGGAAGGTCACAAGTTCGAATCCTGGTTCTTAATTAAGTTTTTCTTTTTGGGGTTAGATCACGTAAATATAAATGCGTCGTTAAACCCACAACCACCCGACACAGCCAATTTAGTAAAGGCTTACCACGTAAACAAAACGTGCCAATTCGTGAGTACATCTGCACAGCAATGTGTTGGAGAGTAAAACCCACAACGTTTACAATTCGAGTACGACGTTTCGCTGGTGATTACAGCCAGCTTCGACAGGCGATTGGCCCGGAATTGCGAACACGTCTTCCTGTTTCTGTCTTAAATCGAGGAGTAAAGTTCATGTCACACCCTGCTTGTGGAGGTTGACTCAGCCCATCAGCCCTTCCGGACTCCATATAAAATAATCACCGTAACTCTTTGTCGGGAATTCACCACCGTTGTCCTCTATGGATAGAATTGCCCCCCTCCCCTCTGCCACCCGCCATGCGAATGTGGAATTACCACCACTGGTTCAGGGCTGTAATCAGGAGATGAACGCCAATATCTCAATGTTCATTTCAGAAGAACATCACCGACTCAAGTGCTATTCAAACTACAATCGTAGCAGAGCACGTGGTTTCGAGACGATTCTTCCTTAGAAACGTTATTATGGTGACCATATTCTGCGCTAAGCCTCTGTATTTATTTAAATCGCGCATGTACTAATGTTTTAAGATATGCAACAATGCGTCGAGTTTAAATCAATTATCGCGCTCAAATAATCATTCAGTCAATATTTTTCCACTCAAATATGTTGCATACAATAGGTTAAACCTAGCTCACGCAGACACTGCACGTACTGCTCTTTCGATCGCAATCGAAACGTCGTATTCTATTATTTAATTTATTTTCTTTCCACGTGACTTTACCGAAAGAATCAAAGAGTAATTCCTGCAGTCACGAAAGCTTCAAATCAAGACGGCACGTACTCTTCAAATAGATAAAGGTACAGCCCTGCAATTGCGTGCTCGGGGCCTACTGCTGGAAACAAAAACATCTCCCACTCGAGGGAGTGTTTGAAGGTTACCTGGCTTCCTCGTTCCCGTTGGTCAGATGTCTTAGAAGAGATGGGAGTTACTCACACTTTACCCCACCACAAGCCGTCCGCCGATGGACTACTGCGCTGAAACCCATCAACGCCGCTGCTTGGGAGGGCAGTGGCGCTGAGAGAGGATTTCAGAAACTTGCGCTGGGAGACTGAGAATCAAATTGAAATTCCAATGTGCGAACCATGGCAGCTCCAGTCCCACTGTTTAACACAATGTAAACAAAAATATATATTTAGTTCTTTCGATGAAGCCACGTAAATAGAAAATAATACAAAATAAAAAAATAAATTAAATTAAAGCAAAAAATCACGACGTTTCGATCGCAACACAGCGGTCTTCATCAGGCCATCGAAACGTCGTGGTTTTTTGCTTTTAATTTTAATTTAAACATTTTTTTAATTTTATTTTCCATTTACGTGGCTTAACCGAAATAACCAAAAATATATAATTTTGTTCACACAGCGGTCTTCATCAGGCCATCGAAACGTCGTGGTTTTTTGCTTTTAATTTTAATTTAAACATTTTTTTAATTTTATTTTCCATTTACGTGGCTTTACCGAAATAACCAAAAATATATAATTTTGTTTACACAGCGGTCTTCATCAGGCCATCGAAACGTCGTGGTTTTTTGCTTTTAATTTTAATTTAAACATTTTTTAAATTTTATTTTCCATTTACGTGGCTTTACCGAAATAACCAAAAATATATAATTTTGTTTACACAGCGGTCTTCATCAGGCCATCGAAACGTCGTGGTTTTTTGCTTTTAATTTTAATTTAAACATTTTTTAATTTTATTTTCCATTTACGTGGCTTTACCGAAATAACCAAAAATATATAATTTTGTTTACACAGCGGTCTTCATCAGGCCATCGAAACGTCGTGGTTTTTTGCTTTTAATTTTAATTTAAACATTTTTTTAATTTTATTTTCCATTTACGTGGCTTTACCGAAATAACCAAAAATATATAATTTTGTTTACACAGCGGTCTTCATCAGGCCATCGAAACGTCGTGGTTTTTTCCTTTCATTTTAAAAGTTTATTAATTTTAACTTAATTATATTTTTTTATTTTCTATCTACGTGACTTTAGTGAAAGAACCAGGAATATAAATTCCTGCTGTCACGAAAGTTTTAAGTCAAAATATAGTTTTATGTATCCTAATATATATTTAAAAAAACATTTTAAAACATTCTAATTTGACCCTGGCGAAAACTGTCAAAGTTAGAGCGCTCATATGAGCATCGTGCTGTGCTCATATTTTCCTTTGCTGACCTCAGCCGAAAGCAGACATTGCACACTCCTCTGACAGAGACAAGATTATCCAAATAACAATTGCTGCTCACTTCCGCAAAAAAAAGTGGCAATTGCGACCAGGGCTGAATGGACGGATGCTTGAATCCACCAAGACCCTAACACATTTCATAATTGTGAGGACACAATTGAAGATATGTGCAAGCCAAGGTGGAAACAAAAAACTCTGTCACGAGGTCTGAAAATTGTAACCGGGACAAAATAAAAAAATGTTGATTCCAAAGAACACAGGATGAGATGTTACCATCCTTTGTGCAAGCACTTCCAAGAGTTCATGAACAGTGAGCCTGGTGAAATTTGGGGAGCGCATCGTCAGTAGTGACCCTTTGGTTCCTAGGGTGTTTCGGCCTTTCATACTATACACCCTCCCCAAAGGCGGCCAGCGACAGGGTGATCAATCCTACGCTTGCGTCCCATTCCCAATTAGTCATAGGAGTTGCCTTGTTGTTGGGACACGTGGACGACATTTCTCAAGCCAGGACTGTCCTGGGCTCCACGGTGGCGAGATGTTAACTACTTTGACTGGTATACAGGAGGTCGTGGGTTCTATCTCGACCCTGACACCGGTTTACTGTAGAGTTTGCACGTTCTTCCCGTAGTTGCGTTGAATTTTGTCCGGGTGTTCTGATTTTCTCTCTACATTTAGAAACATACCTTTAGAATATTTGGACGCTATAAATGTCCACGTGATAAGCCACTTCGTTGAATACTCATTCTGTGGCCAGGTCGCTTCTGAAAAAGAGCTATACAGCTTCAGTGAGCCTTACCTGGTAGGTAAAAAATAGTTTGAAAAGTGTTAAAAAGAAAGACCTAACAATTAGACGCCTGAAGATGGATTGATTCCCCGATTAAAATAGATTATGCTCACACACGAATGCATGCCGTTTAAACAAATTACATGCAAATGTCACGTTAATGTTCCTTTTGTGCTCAAGGCGCTATCCAGAAATAGACACACACGAGATGGTAAAAACGAGACAAGAACAAGGGGTAACTTTATTTTTTGGTACTTTCCCCACCCCCACCCCCCCCCCCCCCATGGCATTCCAGTCGTGCTACCGGAATCATTCACGAGACGAAGGACCCCTGAGGATATCTTGCACGGCAGTTCGCCCCACTGTGTCAGAGAACGGCCGTGGAAAAGATGCGTCAACAAGAGACTTTGGTGGACATAAAACGGCATTTGTATCCTTTAGACCAGGGGTGGGGAACGTCCGGCCCGCGGGCCGTACAAGGCCCGCGAAATCATCTGGTCTGGCCCTGCCAAGGCAACCACAGGCGGGACTAGAAATTCACTAAATCTAGGAGCTAACCTGGAAAAGCAGTTGCGAGTAGCAGCATCAACATCATCAATACCAGCTAACGTCACACGCCTCGCCAAAGAGAAGCAGTTCCAGCCCATCACATTAGGGGGTGAGTTAATTAAATGTTTGACCAAATATAACGGGCTAATTTTTAGTTGATAATTTTGTATGGCCCACGAATAATGTTTGAAATTTCCAAATAGCCCTTGGAAGAAAAAGGTTCCCCACCCCCTGCTTTAGACAATAGCGGGCGCATTTTACCATACACTCAATTAAGCCGCTATTTTTAATATTGGCCCCTGGAATGTTTCAAAATATGTATTTTATTTGATACATCACATATATAATGGCTGAGATACATACTCGCTCGTTATTGAATTTGGCGATGCGTCTCTCATGCACAGAAGTGTGTTGTGAGTGGCGCGAATGGCACGTGCGGATTATCCCCACGTGCCTTCGTACATGTCCCAATTAGTGACACGTTCCCACGATTAATGCGTGAGTTACACAGCGCTCAATTTCAGCCAGCATTATTTTGGCATCCAGTTACATTCATCTCGCCTTAAATTGTCCTCGTGATGCTGCGGTGACTGTGGGTTTGCGGTGGTGTGCAAAGCCGCTCATAAGATTATAGGAATATAGAATACAATAACACAGGGTCTCTAGTGGTAGTGCCTTACGCCGTTAATCTCTGCTCTGAGCCAGCCTTAGCAGCATTCTAGTAAATGTCCAGTGAGAAAATCATCCCTGGTTCTTACAACGCCGATGCGATAATGGCTGACGTGTAGCAGGTGAATAACTTAAAAAGTGGGTCCGTTTAATGTTATTAACTTTCAGCTGAACCACGAACCAGCCTCCTGCTGGAAGTCTTATGAATTGCCTTGCACCGAACGCCAACATGCATTACAACTTGACCTCGGCGATTGCGCCGTTTAAAAGTGTATTGCCCAAAGAAGCAACTCTGCATCTAATGAAGACGGGCCCATCCCTGAACCGAGTAATTTCCCCCGAAGCAAAAAAAATCTCTCTCGAAATCTCACAACTCAAATCGTCGCCTGAAACTGCTTTGTCCACACAGGAGCGAGTAGTTGCACGACAAGGAGATGTATTATTTCGATTTAAAGCTTTCGTGACTGCAGGGATTCATCTTCTTGGTTCTTTCGGTAAAGTCACGTAGAAGGGAAGTAATAAAATAATAAAAATAAAACATAATAAAATAATATAATAAAATAATATAATAAAATAATATAATATTTTATTATGTTTTATTTGTATTATTTTATTACTTCCCTTCTACGTGACTTTACCGAAAGAACCAAGAAGAGATGTATTGTTGTGATTATTCCAATCCCGGGATCTCCGCGATGATAGTGGCTCAGCACTCCGACCTCCAGCAGTCAAAGTGGAAAATTGGAAGTCCCGCTGTGAAACTAACCGCTTCTCCTCTTCGGAAACATCGCGGTGCAGCAGAAGTAGGAACCGTTCTGGGAAGCGGTGGCACACATGTGCTTGGCGTTCTGAGAAGTGCCGGTATTATTATTCGTAATACAGGTTTTTATTAGATTGCGTAAATATATAAATGTGTCGTTAAATGTTCTTGGTTCTTTCGGTAAAGTCACGTAGAAGGGAAGTAATACAATAATACAAACTCATTCAGACGCTGTCTCCCCGACAGACCTGGTCTTCACCTGAGGACGGCTGCTTGCGTTGTGGCCGAAACGTCGTGAGAATTATTTTATGATGTTTTAATTTTATTATTTTATTACTTCCCTTCTACGTGACTTTACCGAAAGAACCAAGAAGATGAATCCCTGCAGTCACGAAAGCTTTAAATCGAAATGCGTCGTTAAACTCACCACAACCAACGTCGTACTCACATTCTAAATGTTGTTGCTTTGCTCTCCAACACACCGGTGCGCTGTACGAGTAACGAATTGGCATGTTCTGTTTTACATGACAAACCTCACTAATTGGTTGTGTCGGATGGTGGCGGGTTTAATAACAAAACATTTATATATTTACGCGATCTAACCCAAAACAAAACTGCATTATGGATGATATTGGTCTCGAAAGCCTACATGTTAAACTTTATTATTAATATTAGACTTATTTCACCCAGCAAACCCTCGCCGAGGCTCATGACTCTCTTTTTCAGGAGGGTCCTGCCAAGTTCTCGCGGTACGGGGTGGGATTGCGGGCAATCAATCGCAGGTTGGCAAAAACGCGTCAAACGCGGTGTCGAAATACGTCGCTGCGAATCGACGAGCAGATCGATGCACGAAAATTTGAGTCCGCGGTCCACTTTGAGCAATGCGGTTGCACCACGGCCCGCAATCGGTTGCAGACGTCCGCACAGTTGCACGCCAACGAGTAACCTGCAACTGATGTTCTGTTGTAGGGGATTACCTTGCGTGCACCCTGCTTAGGTTAGACTGCCAACAAGCCAAGAATTGGTTGAACGTTATTGGTAATGCGGGACAGAAGTTGTTATTTAGCAAAAAGCGTGCTATTAAACTGTGTTTAACAGGGCGTAAATTCTAAGTAGGGAGTTTTTCATTGTGAATGAAATTAGGGTGACTTTCTAAATGGCTAATGCCGTTATTAAATCTTCACATTGATCAGATCATCGCCATTTCGCATGAGCTTAATGGGGTATTCGCATTAGCGTAACATTAATTGGATGATGTTATATTACAATGCGTGGTGGTTGGCCCGCTGGGTGATCGTTTTCGCCACCGTGCCAAGGACATGGATTGTCGAAGCCACGTTTGCCAATGATAGAGTGAAAACATCATGGGGGGAGGGCGTTAGACCCAAGAAAACGTGGACAAAAGTATATCGCTGTTGAAAACCCAAAACATTTGTAATCACAAAATCAAGAAGTAGCCGTATTAATAGAACGGCATACAAAGAGATATATTGTTTGGCTCTGCTGGTGTATCACGTGTTGTTCACGGTTACAACCGGTGCTTAATAACAGTCCAGAACACGCTGTTCGCTAAATAATATTTGGCACGCGACATCCGTCTTGTCAAACAACAGGGGGTCCCACAACCAGATAATCGGAATATAGGGTGCAATAGCGTAGCATTGTCGGGGATTACTATGGATGACTCTGTACGTACGGTTGAACTTCTTTCGCACCGTACGTCAGCCAACTGCGCTAATCAGAGGTGCGGAGGGAACGACAACAGACTAAACACTAAAAAAGCAGTTCAAAAGGAATGACTTCATGCTGTAGCTTGTACTCTGGTGGTTAGCGCCTTGCCCCGATCAGCTCCACTTCACGCCATCCGAGCAGCGTTCCAGAATATATTTGTGTGTATACATATCGAGTGAGAAATTGAGCGCTGGTTGCAAGCACACGTTAACCGCAGAGCAGGCCCCGACATTCACTGTCGTTAGTGCATCTCTGTGTTTAAAACACGCCAAAGTGTCACTCACAGACGGCGCCGCGACGTCTCATGCTGAGCTATCGGCGAACACAGTCAGAAGCATGTTGGACTTCTTTCGCACCGTACGTAGCCAAGCGTGCCGATCAGGCGGAGGGAAATCCACCACGACCCGAACTCGAATGCAAAAGTGCCCTAATTGTGAGGCCACACTTTAAGAGATGTGCCAGCCAAGGTGGGGAATTAAACGCTTCTATGCCATGAGGCCAGAAAATTGTACCATCGAGAATGCCTTCCCTTCCACAGCTAAACAGTCTGATTTAATTGCTCCATCTCCGCTGTGGACGTGACACACTCTCGGATGCGTTCCATTCCGTGGCTGCTGCTCCCTTTACATTCTTGAAAGCGTGAGTGAGTACAAAGATCCTCACTTGACCATTTGCTGCAATATAACAGCGTGGTAACGATGCGAAAAGTCATAACGACGTATAATTGACTGCCCTTTGTCACTCCACTGCTGGATGAAGGCCTCCCCAAACCGCTTCAGTCATGGGGGGGGGGGTCGTTGAAGCACACGTCTGATCGCTGCACAGTGTGGGTTGGTGAAAGGGATGAGAGTTGAGTCCATGGCTGGTGCATAGCGGTGCACACCAAGTGCTGTAAATATATTTCCCGTAGCTAATTGCATCCTGCTGTATATGAAAAAAGTCAATTACAGGTAAATAGCTCACTCAAATAGTCCGTGGACTAACCTTGCACACAAAAATCCCCTACAGACTTTTAACAATTACAAGGGAATCTTTAAACCGCGGAGTTACACGAAAACATTCCGCCGTACGTAAAACTCCCCGTTACTTCAATTGTCCAAATTCTGCATTTCACAACGAATTCATGCGTCTCCCACCTGCTTGAAGATGACCGTGAACGATCGGTCGATTGATTGATGTTGGTGGCCACGGTGTTAAGCTACGATCTTCGGAGTCCCCAGTTCCTCTTTGGGAGGGGTGTTCACCCACCAACACACACACCCACAGATTGGGGCCTTTTCTTCACATTCTTTGGGTCTTCCGGTAAAGAGACTCCGGCGCGCGCCTCTCCATTGCTCAACCTATCATCGTCCAAACGCGACGAGGTAGAGGCGGAGGCGGAGGACGACGAGGAGAGAGCTGAGACGGGAGGAGGTTATATCATGCCGGCGAGCCACGGTGGAAGAAAGAGCCCCACCGTGCCCAGCAGACACACGACGACGAAGACCCAGAGGAAGATGCGGTCGATCACCATGGCCACGTACTTCCAGTCTTCCTTCACCTGGACGAGGAGACACCCCCCACCAGCGCACCTCCAATTAGCACTGTTGGTTACGTGCGGTGCAGAAGAAGTTCAACATACCGTACGTGCATATCAGAACTATTCCTGGGGCTCCCCTTTCACGCAAGACCGAGGGGAAGGCCCATCGTGGTTTCGGAGACCAATTGGCAGGAATTTAACTCGGGTGAATTTCACTCGCAGCGCATGAGCACCACCACCATCAACGCTTACACCCCCCCCCCCCCCCCCATTTTCACCAACCCGCACTGACCAGCGTGGTGAAGTATGGTTAAAAAAAAACACGTGACTGACAGCTCGGGGAGTCATCATTCATGCATTGGTTGATTGACAATGGGCAGACGTATTCATGGTATGAGACTGGAGTCCAGTGCTGGTTCAGAATCACTCGCCACTGATTGTAGCCAAGGCTGGGGATCGAACTTCAGGTCACCACGGGGTTCATAGCGCTTCACACCGAGTGCTGTGAACATGCCGAGAATATTTCCCGTAGCTAATTGCATCCCGCTGCAGATGAAAGCAACGTCGGAGCAAGGAAAAGGTTTGCGCATAGAAGGAGACCTGGTGCAGGCAGTGATGAGAAGGAAACTGCCACTAATTGGACAACGTTTGAAGAAGGATAATCAACAACGGGCACATTTAACGTGTTGTTGTTGTTCGGAAAAATGGAAGGAACCGGAAAGAGACGGAAGACCTCACAGAGAATGGATATATTATGTGGATCTTTCGGTAACGTCACGCAGATAGAAAAAATAATAAAAGTAAATAAAATAAAACTACGACGTTTCGATCACAACACAAGCGATTATTGTATGTCCCCCCCCCCCTTTTCCCCTCCTGATGACGATCGCTTGTGTTGTGATCGAAACGTCGTAGTTTTTTTACTTTTATTTTTTTTCTATCCACGTGACTTTACCGAAAGATCCAAAGCAAATGAATTCCCGCAGTCGCGAAGGTTTTAAGTCACAAACAGAGAACGTATTTTTGCGACGTAAGAGGCCGCTGCCGGGAAGATGGGGCCTACGACTTGATCAGAATTGGCGCTCCAAGACAATGAAAGTGGACGCCAATGACGACAAGTGCAGCGGACACGCGCGGGCTCTCTGCCCCACGGATCACGATGATGATTGCTGATGAAGACAAAATCCATTCACATTCTGGGGCTCACTCAAGGAAACGCTTCGCTCGCTCGCCCGGCCATGCGCGTGACCGCTGCCCGGCTGACCCCCCCCCCACCTTCCCCACCGCAACTAACCGAGAGGTGCGCGTCCTCGGCGCGCAGGTGGTTGGCGATGTACTGCACCCCCTGCACCGCCAGCACCAAGCTCGGCCGGGGAGGTCGCGGTGGCCGCAGTGGCCGCGCTAACGGCGGCGGCTGTGAAGAAGCCGCGGCCTCTTCCTCCTCCTGCTCCTCCACCTCCTCCTCTTCCACCTCCTCCACCTCCTCCTTCTCATCCTGCTGCGTATGCTGCTGCTGTTCCCCGCACGCGCAGCGGCACGCGCACCCGCCCGGCCACGGTGGCTCTGGCTTGCCGGCATCGCGCGTGCCCAGCTCGCACGGCGTCGCCCCGGGCCCCGCGCCCACCGGCACGGCCCAGCAGCCACCGCCGTGCTCCAGACGCGCCTCGAGCTCCTGCGCCACGTGGCGCTGCCGCTCGCGCTCGTGCAGCCACTCGCCGTCGCCGTGGCTCGTGCCCCACGTGGTCACGGCAGTGGCCTCGACGCCCGGGCACGCGCAGCAGCGGGGGAGCGGCGGGGGGCAGCCCGCATCGTTCCCGCGGGGCGGCGGACGCTCGTCGTGGAAGACGCTCAGCTGCTCCGGCAGGAGGAAGTGGTGGTGCGGTTGATGCTGGAGGTGATGCTGCTGTTGCTCTTGGTAGTGCTGGTGATGGTGACGCGCCTTGTGGTGGTTGCGCTGCCCGCCGAGTGCGCACGGCGGGCGCGCGGTGCGGGCCAGGAGGAGCTCGGCGCGCCGCTGCTGAAGGGGAGGGCGGCGCATGACGAGCCAACGCGGCACGCGGTCGAGGAAGACGCGACGCACCCAGCGCGGCATGCCGTGCGTCGCCGGCGAGCGGTGGTGCACGTTGAGCACGAACACCGTGATGACGATGGAGAGCGTCACGAAGATCATGGTGAAGAGGAGGTACTCGCCGATGAGCGGGATGACGAGCGACGTCGACGGGATGATCTCGGTGATGAGCAGCAGGAAGACGGTGAGCGACAGCAGCACGGAGATGCACAGGGTGATCTTCTCGCCGCAGTCCGAGGGCAGGTAGAAGACGAGCACGGTGAGGCACGAGATGAGCAGGCACGGGATGATGAGGTTGATGGTGTAGAAGAGCGGCAGGCGGCGGATGATGAACGAGTAGGTGATGTCGGGGTAGATCTGCGGGCAGCAGTCGTACTTCTTGGTGTTGTACGTGCCCACGGCGTGCACGATGGCCCACTCGCCGCTCTCCCAGTAGTCCTTGAGGTCCACGTCCCTGGCCATGCTCACGAGGTCGATCTTGGCCTTGTCGTAGGTCCACGAGCCGAACTTCATGGTGCAGTTCTGCTGGTCGAACGGGAAGAAGGTGACGTCGATGCTGCAGGAGCTCTTGTAGATGGCGGGCGGCTTCCAGCGCACGCGGCCCGTGTGAAAGAGGTGCGCCTTGGTCATGTGGGTCACGGCGAAGTCGCCGTCCGCGCTGGCCGGCGCGCGTGCACACAAAGACAAAGGTTCGCCCGTGTAGCCGCGGCAGACTGCTGGGGCAAGTGCTGTTAGCGAGCGGCGCCTGTGAAGGGCGAACACCGCGCACGGAGGGGCTGGCGAGGGATCACGCTACGCCGTCGCGTGACGTCACTTAGGGGCCCTCATCGTGGTGCTATAAGGAAGGGTCGTTGCCCGAAACGTTACCTATTAAAATATTTTTTCCCGTTTATGGCCTACAGTGTTATTGACCAATGTGTAGAATGTTTTTTTGTTTGTGTAAATATGCATCGAACTTTAGGTATGGGTGGTGGTAAAACATTCAAGGGGAGGGAGCAATTTAACATTCAAAGAGGAGGCTCCCAAACCCCTAACAGCCCCAGGCTCGCATTAAGCTGAATCCGGTCCTGTCACCACGACACACAAAGACAAAGATATCCCCTAGAGCCTTAACAGACTGTTGGGGCAAGTGCTGTTTTGCGAGTACCTTTGAAGGTCGGCACGGCAAACGAAGGGGCGGGGGGGTGGCCAGCACCACGCCCGACCACCTATGTCTCCCGAGTGCCGATGTTCACACGCCGCACCGGGTACTCATTTAATGCTGAGTCGACCAACAGGAGGCCCAGGACCTGGTCCAGATAATCCTCACTGGTATTGAACCGTGAGCGGGAATCGAACTCGGGACCCGCCGGTTTCGTAGCGCGAGCGCGCTAACTGCTGCGCCTCCGCTCACCACCCCAACCCACCACGTGCACGCACGTGGGCACGTCCCGGCACGTACTTGTTGTAGAGGACGATGTCGGGGACCCATATGAGCTCGGAGGGCACGCGGATGGACGTGACGTTTTCGTAATCGGCGGGGTTCCACTGGAGCTTGTAGTCATCCCATTCCTGCAGGGACAAGGCCGCGGCTCATGAAGTTTGTGCCCACGGGATCATTCTTCAAGAGGCCGGTCCACGACCTACCATCACCGCAGAGGTCGCAAACGGGTTTTGATTCCTTACCAGTACCCGGCCGCACCAGGGTCGCAAACGGGTACCCCCACCTCTCCCAAGATGTCTGACCAGTGTCAAAGAGTAGCTCAAATACCAGTCGAGATGGGGCTTCCTCTAGAGCTTCCTCTAGTGGAGGCCCTACCGCCAGCAGTGGCTTGAGCGAGCAATTGCAGGGCTGCTCCTTTGCTTATCTCAATTTGCCAGCGTAGTTATACTCGTGATAATTTGCCAATGGGAAAATTACAAATCTCTGCAGCTCAAACGAGAAATGGGATTGTGCTCATCGCTGACGGCAGCCTTGAGCCAGTGGTGGAAATTCCACATTCCTCCTGACGGGAGCCAGTCTCTCGCCATACGTCAACCGCTGTTGTTGCAGAGTGCACAGTTAATAGTCAACTCCAGACATTATATTACGGAAAAAAAGCCATCCTGTGTGAATGTAACGTTAAAATGCAAGTGTCAGAACAATACATTTCGATTTAAAGATTTCGTGACTGCAGGGATTCATCTTCTTGGTTCTTTCGGTAAAGTCACGTAGAAGGGAAATAATAAAATAATACAAATAAAACATAATAAAATAATTCTCACGACGTTTCGGCTTGCGTTGTGGCCGAAACGTCGTGAGAATTATTTTATAATGTTTTATTTTTATTATTGTATTATTTCCCTTCTACACGACTTTACCGAAAAAACCAAGAAGATGTCAGAACAATAGTCAGTATTCATCGCTATCAAGGCAACGATTTTGGCGTGACATTCTTTTTTTTGGCAAGAATCACGGTGTTTTTTTTTATATCATGAACGGAAAGGTCACGGAATCAGGTGTCACAGTTCCCATTACTCACGATGCGTGACATTCTCGAAGGAAACTAATGGACAGAGCCTAACAATAGTGTGCGTCTGCAGACAAACATTACCAAGACTTCATGGAATTTATTGAAATTCACGATTTATGGGACCATGATGACCTCTGTGCAAATACTCATCACAACAGAGAGATCTCATTATGTTTTGTCAACCACCTGTGTGCGAGATGAATGCCATACCTGTTTTAACCACACGTTTGTGGTCATCATCTGATTCTTTTCATCCTGAAAAAAACAACAACAGGACAAAATGCCTTTGAATGCGGAGTATTTGGTAATGCAGCTGCTGCTGCTGCATTGGCAGTGGTGTACAAGCACAATTAACAACGAAACACCACACGCTCATCAACACAAATGCATTAAAATAAAAAAATAATATAATCAGTGACATGTCAGCACAATGATCCTCGCTCGCCAGAGTGAAGAATGGCCATAGGGTCATTGCCTAAAACGTCGACGATGACATCTCTTTTTTTTCGTACCTTAAGGCATCGTTGTTGACGTGTGGATTGAGTTGTGTTAAATACAGTCACACAGGTGTGTACGGAACTCTGCGTAACGCAAGAGGCAGCCAAAACGTTGAAATTGTAATGCGGGCGTAAATGGGCGGGGCGGATATGACGATCCGAGAGGGAGGAGTCAGGGTGACGTGGGGGAGAAGTTATAGCGGGGAGACAGGAAGCTATCTGGGGCAGTCGGGGGAGTGAAGGGTGGTGAACACGTTGGGTGGTCGCCGTGCCTCAGCCTGGTGGCTGAGGGGCTCATGACGGCGCCAGCCAGCGGGGTGGAAGAGAGAGTGGAGGATTGAGGTTGGAGATGGCGAGATAGCCACAGAGGCCACGAAGGGCTGAGGTAGGAAGTGGCGAGATAGCCACAGAGGCCACGAAGGGCTGAGGTAGGAAGTGGCGAGATAGCCACAGAGGCCACGAAGGGCTGAGGTAGGAAGTGGCGAGATAGCCACAGAGGCCACGAAGGGCTGAGGTAGGAAATGGCGAGATAGCCATAGAGGCCACGAAGGGCTGACATGGGGAGGTGGCGAGATCGCCACGCACGGAGGAACAGGGAGCAGCGATGGAGCTGCTGGGGGAGCAGCCAGAGGGCTGTACCAAGAGCCTGCAGCGGAGCTGCAGGAGCGTGGAAGGCTACGGGAGCGAAGGCAGATGTGGGGCTGCCAGGGAGAGAGTCTCAGGAGGAGTGCCGTGTGGGAAGGAGAACGCGAACCCCAAATAAAGGACACGGAGTCAGCAAGAAGTGTCTGAGTCCTTTTATTACAAATGCACCACGTTATTCTAAGGCAACCAAAAATAACAAGAAGATATATATCTATATTTTCGAATTTGGTATAAAACAAAAACTCAATATTTCAAGATCCCATGAGAATAACGTGACGGAGCAGCCCTTTAACAGTTGTATGGCAGCACCGAAACCACAGGTAAGGGGCCGTCCATAAATGACGTCACGCACCGAGGGGGGGGAGATCAGACATTTGTGACGATGTGTGACGAGGGGTGGTTGGGAGGGGGGTGAGAAATGTGACGTCACATCAAAATGTCTATATTTATTTAAAGTTGCGCATTTTGATGTGACGTCACATTTCTCACCCCCCCCCCCCCGTCACACATCGTCACAAATGTCTGACCCCCCCCCCCCCCCCTCAGATGAGTGACGCCATTTATGGACGGCCCCTAAGTTGCTCAGTGTGCCCTAACTGGTCAAATACAAAGCTGAGTTTTACTTAGTTCATCATCATCACCGTCGACCTCAATCAATTACTCCATCTTTATGTTACGTGCCAAGATCGCCCTGAATAAAGTGAACATCAGTGCGCACTACAACGGAGCGGGAACGGTACCGGTGGGGGGGGGTGAAAACCGTGCGCAACGAATAGCATAAGAAAGGTAAGTAGTAAAACAAACAAAAAAGTAAAGAGTTTTAATTTAACTTTTTTTATTTCATGGGATGGTTGAAACCTGCTCACACGCTGGCCGTGTTGCAAGCGCGCGCAACAACAACCACAACAACAGCAGCAACAGCAGCAACAGCAGCAGCGCGTGCAATGCGCGTTGTGCCCAACTTGTTGCGGAGGCACGGGGTGACGTGCAGAGGGAAAGTGTGACGAGGCACACGCTCATTTAAAAAGGGCACCCCCAGAGGCAGCTGTTGCTGTGCAGCACTAAATGACTCAGCGCCTGGCCTGAGTCATTTAGTTGCCAGTAGAAGGGGCAATGGGTGCTGCTGCTGCTGTGAAATCCCAATTGCGTGATCCGTTTCCAATGACTTCAGGGGATCCTTAACGCCCACTGTGAAGCAGACGGCTCCAAATCGTTGCTTTTCAAACAGCCGCATTGATAACCAGGGTGGCCTGGCGGAATCGAACTGCAAACCTCTGCGTCACCGCCCCAGACACTCATAGCTACACTATCAGAGACGTAAAGAAGCAATATAAAAACATCGTAATTATCATCATCAGCCATGTTTAATCCACTGCTGGATGAAAGCCTCCCAAAAGATGTTGCTGCCACCTCGCCCGATTCATCCGATGCGCACGAATTGATTCCATCGCACCATCTCCCCTCAGTGGACGTGTTCTCCATCTTTCGGGCCATTCGTCCATCGGCTGTCACTGTTGTGGGAAGAACGATTCGCTTTTGACCGGACCTTGTGTGATCTGAGCAGCAACTCTGGCACAACAAATACGGACTTTGCGCCGAGACTTTGCTCCGAGACTGGAGTCGGCACTAGGTGGCGACTTTTGCGTGATCGTATTGTAATCTTGGTTCTTTCGGTAAATTCACGTACATAGAAAATAAAAAAGTACAAATATATAATCATTTAGAAAATAATAAGAGCAAATAACCCACGACGTTTCGGTCGCAACACAAGCGGTCTTCATCAGGCGGAGAGAAAAGAGGTAGTATTGATAGCTTTGCTCACTGGAACGGCTTTCGACTGAGGGTTTCCCCGACAAACTGGGATGCTTTTAAGACAAAGCAGGATAATTTGCGCAGATAATTAATAGATGAATGTTGCTGGACTCATCACGGGGTTTCCAATTCGATCTCACGGGTGTGGCAGCTGAAAGAATGGCACATGTTTCTTGAATCCCTGAAATCTATGTCCACTCAGTAAAGTCAATAGGTTTGCGATATTCAGTTAACACCTAAGTTTTCGCGACCAATATCCACAATAAAGGTGTTTTAGTTATATCACGTAAATATAAATGCGTCGCTAAACCGGCCACCACCCGACACAGCCAATTTGTAATGTTTGTCACGTAAGCACACCGGTGTATTGGAGAGCAACTCCATAATATTTACAATTCGAGTACGACGTTTCGCTGGTGATTGCAACCAGCTTCGTCGGGCGATTCGCCGTAACGGTGAAGAATTGTTCCTGTTACGGTCGACCGGTAAGACCGGCAGGATGTGTGTCATGGGGCAAAGTGTGGGTACTCCCCCACTGCGCTTTGACGTGTGGCCAGCATGGAAGAGTAGACCAAATGACCTATTCGATGGGCTCTCCAGAGTTCCCGCTGGTGGAGACCCATTTGGTAGCGGCAGCTTTGAACAAGCAATTGCAGGGATGCGCCTTTGTGTTTATCTATTTGCAATGAGCGACTTCCGCGACACGTCGTGTAGAGGGTACTCTTCTTTATTTCACAATCGTGCACAGCACAGGCCAACGTTATCTTCTCGCTCTTCCGAGTACACGCTTTGGATATTAACGTTGTTACAGACTACGCACACGCCCGTCCACTCCCGGCCTCGCCGCTGGCTGACGACATGCCGGTAATGGTAGTGGAACTCCGCAGGAAATCCGCCACGTGGGTGGCCGATCGACGGAGAGAGATGACGGCGAGCAGCGACGAAGTCCGGACCCAAGGCTCCCCACACCGACCACGAGTCCTCCTCCACCTCCGCTTATATAGCCGCAGGCGCTGCTAGGCTCCACCTCCGGTCACGCCCTCTCGTGGAACCTTCTAGCCGGTTCCCGGAGTATCTCGGCTAGCCCCGCCCTCCACCTGTGGCCCAGATACCTCTCCCTTTCGGATTGGATGATGTTTATAGTGGTGCCTGTACCCTCACTTCCCTTTTCCAACCAGTAGATGTCACCATCTCATTACATATTTAAAAAAAAAACTGTAACTCAATAATTCATAATATAGGTTTTTGGGTCAGACTGGAAGCAACAGGAGAGCTTCACCATTCTTGCCCGATGAAGCTGATTGTAATTATCAGCGAAACGTCGTGCTACTCAAATTTTAAAATGCTGTTGATTCTCTCTTCAGCACACCGGTGGGCTAAAGAAGTCTATTTATTGGTCCTTTGAAAACGTGACACATTTTTTACTGTTTGGCTGTGTCGGGTGGTGGAGGGTTAAGACACATTTATAAATAACGTGATTTGACCCCAAAAAACCTATATTGTGAATAATATTGGTCGCGAAAGCCTACGTGTTAAATTGTAACTCAAAAAGTTGACCCGTGTAATGTTTTCTGAAACTGAATTGTTTCCTTTGAACGGCAACTATTGCCGCTGTGTGCTTGACAGCAGTCCTGATTACAACTGACTAGTTGGAATCTGTCAGCTGCGGTGATTTACCTCGACTTAGGACTCACTTTGCAAATCGACTGAAGACTTACATCGTCACGGATAGATGTATTCAACCAGATATAAATTATGTATATATGCTTTAATCTTGATTTGAAGCTTTCATGACTGCAGGAATCCATACTCTTTGATTATTTCTGTAAAGTCACGTAGCTTTCCCACCTGATGAAGGACGATTGTGTTGCGCCCGAAACGTCGTGATTTATTTTATTTTATACCTACGTGACTTTACCGAAAGAACCAAAGAGTATATAAGCTTTATTATTTTATTCTGTCCGAGGAAATTCTCTCACATTTTTATCCAGATTAATGACACTTGAACAAGTAATTGGTGAACTGTGGTCGAACCGTATGACTGATGTAAGATAAAAACTGAACGCTCACCACAATGCCAGTAAAAATGCGAACGTTGTGCCAACGTTGGTGTGTGGTTGGAACCGTTTACTGGGTTCGTTCTGTACCAGGAATATTTGCCCTCGGGAAAAAAAAATAATGTCCCCTTATAACAGAGATTGCCCAAAAACATTGCCTTTAATATATATCCTCCCCTAGGATAGTGCTGTTGATGAATGTGTAGCGAGCTTTTGCTGTGTGTACTTGTGCGCCTCTACAGTATCACACAACAAAACATTTCTTCGTTGTCGTTTCTACGACTCGATGCAGCACGGGGAGGCCTTCATCCAGCAGTGGATTGACAAGAAGGCTGAACACTTTCACAAAATAGATTAATTGGAAACCCGGCAAAAAACGGTAAACGGTTCATTACGTGTCTCTTTTGCAATAGGGGAACATGGGATCAATTCAAATATCAGCTTATCAATGATCTCGTCCTCATCAATCAATCTACGGGCCCTGTACACATTGACACAATCACTAGGTGGGATATCGATGCCCCTGTTGGCCGTGTACGCTGCGGTGACGGGAGCGGGGAGACGTGAGCTGTGAATGAAAACAAGTCGATGCGAATATGAAGTCAGAACTCCGCGCATGGTTTGTCGGGTTTGAGCATTGTCATCCTGTTTCGCAATGGATTGATGTCAAACGACGTCGCTACAATGGGAGGCGCCATAAATCCTGCAAGTCCAAGGCTTACTGACCTCATGTATACTTCACTGTGAGCCTCAGCATCTATGAGAGCGTGTTATCGACAAGACGTTCCCCGGCGCTCTGATTCTGAAGGATTTCACACTTTATCACTGATAGCGGGCAAGCATACATCTTAAAGAGTGTCTAAAATGCGCCCGCAATACATCACCAATTCAGCCGTCATAGACACACACGCACGCACACCCCGTGGGCCCAAGCAAACACGTGCCCTTGCCGAACGCGTGGCGTTGAAATTAACGTGGTAGATATTTGACGGTGGATTTCTCAATCCACTGCTGGATGATAGGTATTCCCATGCCATGGGGTTGTCCGATCACACGATAACCTATGCACGCTGGTCAGTGCGGGTTGATGATAGGGAGTGGGGTGGGAAGGTCTTGCCACTGATGTTAGCCGTGGTCAAGAATCAATCTCAAGTCACCGCCGCTCCCTGCTCGCGACATATGCATTGCAAAGCTTTTGATGAAGGTTACCTGGCATGAACACAACTATTCTGTCAAATCAACTCAACAAATGCATCAGTAACACAGACACACACGAACACAAATACACATTCAAAGACCCACACACATAAGCAACACGCTTGAACCAAACACACACATTCCCAAACACACAAAATACACGATTGTTCAATCGTACATACTCTCCCCATACAGACACATGCTGTCATAAATAGACAAAGACCTTCCCCCCCACCATTGCCTTTTAATAGACTGTTAGCAAGAACCTGTGCAGGTTGGCATGGCTCACGATAGACACGCACAAACAACATGCAATACACTCATGTATTGTATGTTGAACGTTTTCGCACCATACATACTTACATACGTCGTCAGCATCATGCACCATCACGCACTCGCGCAAATAAATTCTCGCAAAAAATCACACTCACATTACTCTAAATATATATTGTTTTAAGGCAATGGACAGCTACAAGCATGAAGGCTGCAGAACTTCTACACGTGGGCCAACGTGGCGGGGGTGGTGGGGCAGGTCCGGCCGACACGAGCATTGACATCCCTAAATGCTTACCCCGAGCTCTCAATACTCTGATATTGCACTGTGTTTGAGTTGTACGCCTTCTGGTGTCATCTGGTCCAACACCAATGGGGACTAGGCTCTAAAGAAAGCCGTCTCGGGTGTGGACCAATCAACTTCAAGGACAGTGCATATCATTATCATTATCAGAGTTGCTTCTTTTTGTTTGCTTTTTTGACTACTTGTGTCGTGGTCATTACAAACATGATGCCTTGAATAAAGGTGTCAGTTTTGTACCAGTTAAAAGGGTAAAAACCTACTATCCCTAGCACGCTTGGTGACATTGCTGACACAACGATAAACTGTCGTTGCTTCGACTCGACACCACCGCTCACGAGGCTTCGGCCACGGCGCGACACCGACGCACGGCGCTCAACTCTAGTGGCTCCGCACTGCTGTTGCGGCTGCTGCTGGTGCCGCTTTCGGGCGCTCCACCGAGGTGGACAACCCGCATGACAAAACGAGCGTGGTGCCAACTCCGCAAGTGACTTTGCTCTTCCCCTCGGTATGAGAAGAAGAGACTCCGTGACACTTGGCGCCGAGATAAAAGTCACCCTTGTGGGTGATTGGCTGCAATCATCCTTATAGGTAATTGGCTCCATGCAATCAGCCCCACTCCACCCCTTCCCCACCCCCCCTTGCAGGTGATTGGCTGCACACTTGCAGTTGATTGGCTTGTGAAGCAGAAACGATGACTCAATCCCTAGCAACCACTGAAACGCTCCCAGCATTGCTATCTGTGAGGATGCGCATGGATACTTGATCTTTTGACTTAAGCCATTTTAGATCCTACAACAATAGTTGCATGTTGAATTTTGCATGCTTTATCTGTACACGGTACCCTGGTTTTGGACACACACACACGCTTCTGTGTCAGATTATAAGATGCACTCCTACCGTTGCGCTTTAAAATACAGGGGGGGGGGGGGACTGCAGACAATAACCACGGTACACATAGCCCAAGGTCAAAGTTACTGCAGTAAAATCTAAAAAGACTTCCCCTAGGTTGACTCAGCCCTAAATGAGTACCTGGTGTGGTGTGTAAACATCAGCACTGGGGAAACTAAGGTGGCCGGCTTGTTGTGGCCACACCATCCCCCTCGTGCAACTGTGTCACAAAATGAATAGGTGCTCGCAAACATGACCGCTTGTCCCACCAATCTATAAAAATAAGCGTGCGTACGTGTGCGAGTGTGATGCTCGCAACAAGCGCTGGGCGGCTAAAATGCAGCAAGTTGGCACAGTAGGGGGCACAGGTGTGGTGCATCTACCAGTCATCTCTGTCAGTCAACCCAACGCACCGGGATCTGTCCCGTGACCTCCTGCCGGTGAGACTTTGATAGCCTCGGAGTGCACCTGGCGTTGGGACAGAGCCGCCGTGACAATGTCACCGCCACTTAGTGGCGAATGGCGGCCGCTGCTGTTGTTCCCGTTGTCGTTGTCAATGTGTAATGACGGCTTGACACACGTCTCTTGAGATGGAACTTTAATGAAGACACGTGCACTTGACATCCGGCGCAGACCCTCGCTGCAACAGCCCCGAGTCTCCCGCACATCTCCCTTTTATATATAAACTCGAGGCCACGCCCCCCTTCTCGATCATTCTCGCTGACTCTCTACCGGCAGACTCTACTGTCACCTGACCACGCTGCCTTCTCGAACATTTCCCTAACCACCAGTCCCTTCACACTCACAACTGATACCGCTGTCATTACCTCCCGTGGCCACCAGTCCACTCACACCGCAGGCTGACTCCACTGTCATTACCTCCCGTGGCCACTAGTCCCCTTGCACCGCATGCAGGCTCTATTGTCATTACAAATGTACTCACCACATCGATGAGCTGAGCGATGGACAGGCCAAAGGTGATGCTCACGATGTCGGTGATGTTGGGCACGGGTCGCGACCAGCGGCTGTAGCCCGTGAACAGCACCCGAAACAGACGGTCCTCGGCCAGGGAACGCTGACGACTCATTCCACACGCTGCACAAAGATAAAAAATTAACCCGTAAAAACAAAGTTTTTTTACTATAAATCTTTATAGGCGTGCCAGCCCACATTGATCTTTGAAACGGGCGGCTAGAGTCCTCTCGTCCTCTGGCTTGAGATGGCTGCCACCTATGGGTCAGATGATTGCCTGCCACCATTAAGCAATTGGTAATTAAATATAATAATTGTTTTGTTCCTAAAATGTTGAAAATCTTGGGAGAAAATTTTCACGAAAATAAATTGTCACGCACAACGAGTCTGTGTGCAAAATGTCAGCTCGATTGGATCAGGGGAAGTGGGTTAAAAAACGACCGAAAGATTTGCACGGTCGTAAGCGCGCAAGCAAGCAAGTGAACTTAATATAAAGGATTTAAAAATACACCGCCATGTGGCATTCACAGACCGTTGGGGCAAGTGCCGTTGAGCAAGCGCCGATGAACAGCGGCACAGCGCACGAAGGGACGGTGTGGGCAACAATCACGCTCTGGCTGTCTCCTCGGCCAAAAAAACTGGTATTTATTTGAGGCTGAGTCAACCCTGGGGAAGACGGCAGGACTGTTACAGGGATGTTGACTGTGAGCGGCAATCGAACTTGGTTTTGTCGGGTCCGTAGCACAGTATGCTAACCACTACACCACCACTTTGTAGCATTCATATTTCCTAACTTCGTGCATGGCTCACTGAGATGCATAGATGGATTGCGCCTCATGAATATAAATTATTATTCCAACACATAACCCCACACGTGCGAAGTCTCCTTCCCATATTTGTCCATCCACATAAAAAAAACATGATGCCTTGTATAAAGTTGTCAGTTTTTGTACCAGTTGAAAGGGTAAAAACCTATTACTGTACCATATTTTGCCACTGGTAAAGGAGGTCTCATAGTGTAAATGCTTACCCGAGCTCTCAATACTCTGATGGTGCGCTGTTTTTGAGTTGTACGCCTTTTGGCGTCATCTGGTCCAACAGCAATGGAGACTAGGCTCTAAGAAAAGCTGTCTCGGGTGTGGACCAATCAACTTCAAGGACAGTGCATATGATTATCATCATCAGAGTTGTTTCTTTTTGTTTGCATTTTGACTGCTTGTGTTGTGGTTATTGCAAACATGATGCCTTGTATAAAGGTGTCAGTTTTTGTACCAGTTGAAAGGGTAAAAACCTACTACTAGAAGTGTTTTTGTTACACATTCCATTAGCTACCATTCTGGGAGTGCGAAATTTCAGCAGCATCGGTGCACCCATCACAATAAATGCAGTCTCATCTCGCGTTGAAACAATGCTGCTGAAATTACGCACTCACAGAAGGCTGTGTTCGGCTGCTGGCATGTCTAAAAGAAAAACTTTTTTTACGTGGAGAGATTTGAAAAGAAGACATTCTCATCAATGACCCTCGATTAAGTCTTCTGTTTTGCCTTTGCCGTGATGATGTGGCATGCGGCGCCCAGCTCTGTCAAGTCTGGTAAAAAATAACGAGGCATAGCTTGGAAATAAGAAAGAAAGAGCATATCTCACAACACCATGAGTCTAGAAGTGGGAGAGACCTACATGTAAATGCATTGTCTTGAGTGGTGTATTATTACACAACTCACACAGAAAAGCACTTTAAAAGTCCCGTGGAAGACATGCATATTTCCCAGGACATCCATAAGAGGACGATCCTGGGAAACACAGGACAGGTGACAACCCGACTAAAGGCACCACGAGTCAGTGGAGTGTGTGTGTGTGTGTTGAACTTCTTTCGCACCACCGTACGTACCCAACCGTACTAATCGGAGGTGCGGGGGGAAGGACAACAAACTAAAACACCAAAAAAGCAGTTGCTTGTATCTCGTGGTGGCGCGAGATGCAAGCAAAAGCTTATGCCCCCAAATTACTCAAGGCTCTGTAGACTCACAAACAAATAAAATTCTGACGGGCCACCAAAAATCGGCTAAAATGCAAAGCCTAAATAAGCATAACATGTTTTTTCTTTTCTTCTCGCAACACTAATAACAGGATTGGATTTCACCCAGTCTATTAACGTCAATTATCTCACACGGCTGCGTGATGCAATTAAGTTACGCAACGGGTCCTGTGGTCACGCGAGGCACGGGGCTGATGGGGCTTTCATCCGCATCGCGGTAGTAGCGGCAGACATCTGGTGACGTGACTGGGGGCATCACCCGTGTCTCTCTCTCTCTTGTGTCCCTCACCTCTTCTAAACGTCCCCCCCCCCCTCTCTCTGGTCTCACGTTATCCCTCCTCTCTTCTCATTGAACACATCTCAGTCGTCCATCTCTGCTTATCGCGTATCTCCTGCTTCTCATCTAAGCCTCATATGTTTACACATTTCTCCCGCCTTCGTCTTTAAATACTTCTCTCATGTCTTATAGGGTGCCACGGTGGTGAGATGTTGACTACCTCGTCTGGTATGCAGGAGGTCGTGGGTTCGACCCTGACGCCTGTATATATTGGTAGGCTTGCATGTCTCTCTCCCCGAGGTCGCGTGGGTTATTCTCCGGGTCCTCTGGTTTTTCTCCCTACATTTAGAACCAACACGCGTTTAGAGTGTTGGTTTGCTATGAATTCCCACGTGATAAACCACCTTCGTTGAGCTATCATTTGTGGCCAGGTCGCTTCTGAAAAATAGCTATGTAGCTCAGTGGGCCTCACCTGGTAAAATATAAAATTGTTTATAGCGTCGAGTACGTATCCTGAACACACATTATCACTTGTACCTCCGATGATCTCATCTTAATACATCGCTCCGCTGTCTTTTCTACAGATTACTTGTCCCATCTGAACGCATAATTCCTGTCTACCGTCGTTATTCTTTACGTCTGTTTACGCGTGGCATGACGTGTCTGCCGTGTGTCAATCATCACCCCTGGACACCCTGGCAAACTTAAGACGTGAAATCTCAAGGGATGTTTTGTTCCAGGTGAAATAATTTAGCAACGTTGTGTTTAATCGTTGTTTTCTAACCTTATGAATACATACTATTTGGTTCTTTCGGTAAAGTCACGTAGGTAGAAAAATTAAACAAAACTAAAATTAATATATCACGACGTTTCGATCGCAACACAAGCGGTCGTCCTCAGGCGGAAACAATCATCCAGCAGTGGAACTCCTGCACCAGCGAGAGAGCTGTTATAGCAAGGTCATATATGTGAATACGCCTGTCACCCCACCTCATTTGAGTGCATCTCGTGAGAATTGTACCTATCTCAATCGCGACTCAACGGATCTTTCGTCGTCTCACACGAATGGATATATTTCTCTGTCCTTCCATCTCTCTTCCACCTTTCCCATCTCAACGCGTCTTCTCTTATATCTCTATCACCGAAGTTACATATATCACTCGTTTCTCTTAGCCCATCTCAATGTGTATCCCACCGTCGTATTCTGACCCTATCTGTAAATATCTATAAACTATGATAATTGGTTTTTTACCCTTCTATCTGGCAACAAAACTGACACCTTTTTACAAGGAGTCATGTTTGCATAGACCGCAATACCTGGAGTCATAATACAAACAAAAGAACATAACTCTGATAATGTGCACTCTCCTTGAAGTTGATTGGTCCACACCCGAGAGAGCTTTCCTTCGAGCCTAGTCTCACATTGGACCAGATGGCGTCATCTGGTCCAACCCATGTGTGGACCAATCAACTTCAAGGACAGTGCACATTTTCAGAGTTATGTTCTTTTGTTTGTATTATGACTGCAGGTATTGCGGTCTATGCAAACATGACTCCTTGTAAAAAGGTGTCAGTTTTGTTGGCAGATAGAAGGGTAAAAAAACAATTATCATATTTTTACTGGCAAATGAGGTTCCCATAGTGTAATCTATAAACTAGTCAAAAAAGCTTCTTAATTTGCCAGGTAAGGCCCAGGGAGCTATGCAGCTCTTTTCCATGAGCGATCTGGTCACAAATGATAGCTCAACGAAGTGGCCTATCACGTGGTAAATGTATAGCAGCCAAATACTCTGCACGCGTGTTTCTATACGTGGAGGTAAAACCCGGAGAACTGGGAGAAAAATCCACACGAGCACGGGAAGAGCGCGCAAACTCCAAATATACGGCAGGAGTCAGGATCGGGATCGAACCCATGACCGCCTGTATACCAGGCGAAGTAGTTAACATCTCGCCACTGCTGAGATCGAACCATCACAACCACTGTGGCATCTCCCTTCGTTTCTACATTTTCAATAAAAAAGGTTAACATACTACATTGTGCCCATTATTGTGCTAGACATTTCTATGTGTGCGGAAAATCGGTAACCGGTGAAAACCGGAGTTCCCCCAGATTTAAACAACGCAAATACAAACGAATGTGTGTTGCACTGTATCGAAATGCGCATGCTCTGCTAGGTTGACTCAGCCTTAAAGAAACATTATGCGCCTGATGCGGGAAGCCTATGCGGTCCGGCCGTTGTGTTGGCCATCCACCCCCTCGTGCGCAGTTGCTGCCTTAATAGGTGCTCGCTGATTAGCACGTGACCCATCAGTCTACAATACTACACGGTGGATATTCGTCTGCATGTGTGTATGCGGATGCGCGTGTACTACGTATTTTAATGAATGGACACTCATTAGTATATGTGCATGCATGGTATGAAAGTGCATGATCCATGTACACAGGGCTCTGTGGAGCAATCTATCATCTAAAGTACACATGCCTCGTATATGTGTGCTTATGATATAACGCGTGTGTGTTGTATGCGTTCCAGCCTTAACATGTACTCGCTTATCTGTATACTGTTGAGGCACTTTCCCCAAAGGTCCGTAATATTGCATGGTGTAAATTCGTCTATATATGTGTACGCGGGTGTGAATGGATGAATGGACGCTCATTTGAATGAACAGACGGATTCATGTAAGTGTATGATTCTATGCACAGAAGTGCATTTAACGTATTTGGTACGCATTGCCCGTTTTGCTCAGTAAATGAATGTGAGGTTGAGCAACACGCACGTGTCGTGTGTTCGCGTTTGCAACTTACACGTCGCAAGCAAGGCGGTCCCACACAGCAGCATGCCCAGCATGCCTCCCTCGCTCCTCATTCCGACAACCCCGCCACACTTTTAGAATTTCATGAGTTGCACTCCCCGGACCCGGCCGAAACCCACACTCCGACGCTGGTTGCAAAGCGGGCGGATCAAGAGGCCGCGTCGATCAGAAGTTCCGAAGTTCTCCCGGCCACCACGACGTGGAGAGGACACGGGGGGACCGCTGAGAGGAGGAGAGGAGAGGGCTGGTGCCAGCGAAGATGGGTAGTCAAGGCTTCCGCTTTGCCCTTATCGCTCGCAGCCTTGTCCCTTGATGCTCTCCGCGCCCGTGATCTCCCGGCAAAGAGCAGCGCGGGCTGACTTGACCCCGTCTTGAGAATCTCTTGCAATCGCGTTGACTCGAATGGCATTGAACAAATTCGAGCTCGTTAACAGTGCCGCTCGCGCGAATACAAAACCGATGGTTGTGATCACGGTGCCGTTTGCGGTGGTGGTGGTGGTGATGATGACGATGGCTGATTAACCAGCGTCCTAATGATAAAGTCGCTGATGATAATTACGGCAATGATGATGCTGCTGGTTGGTGGTGGTGGTGATGATGATGATTAGATTTAGCAGCAGCAACAGCAGCATTTGGATTACACTACCACAGCCACACTCGCTCTGCGTAAATTGCGCAATATCGGCAGCACCGTCTCTTCGAGAATGAGGAGTGTGAGTGTGTGTGGATGGGTGCACGTGTCTGCTTATGGGGGGGTCGAGGTGGGGGCGAGTGGGGTGTGTGGAGGGGGAGGAGGGGCTGAGTGGAGCTGCGTGCATGCTTCGCCGCTCTGAAGTTCGCACACGCACAGCGCAGAGCGCACGTGTGGAGTGTACACACGGAGACAGACCCAAGCACGCACGCACGCATGTACATATATGCATACATGTACAGTAACACAGATATTTACGCGCATACTGTGAACATATCTGCATGGTTCAATACATGTACGCATACATGCATGCATGTAAACAAACAAACAAAGACAAATATCCCCAGTATAGCCTGTAACAGACTGTTGGGGCAAGTGCTGTTAGCGAGCACCTATTGAGGCCGGCACGGCACACGAGGGGATGGATGGCCAGCACCACGCCCAGTCGCCTTTGTCTCCCTCGTGGCGATGTTTACACATCGCACCAGGTACTCATTTGAGGCTGGGTCGATCTAGAGGAGGCCCAGGACCGTTTCAGATAATCGTCACTGGGTGTTGGTCGTGAGCGGTAATCGAACTCGGATGGCCGAGTTCGTAGCGCAGCGCGAACAGCTCCACTACCGTTCCCTCCAACATGCATACATGCATACACCCACGTACACACGTGTACGTACAAGGATGTGCTGTTTGCATGCATACCTAAATTCACGCAATCGTGACAGCGTACACACATAGACCACGTGTGTACCACGTATGGATGTAATGCTTTACTGGCTGCGATTACAGCCCCGTGGAGTTCATATCCGCAGCACCGGGACAATATGAAACGACAACAGCAATCCCGTGGCATGACATTTGACGCCGTATTTGAAATTTGTTTGAACGTGAGATGATGTTTGATATCAACAATGCGCGGTTTTTAGCAACAATATCATCACGCCGCACTCTCCCGCATTTCATGGTTTGCGTTTTCTTCAAAGAGGAACGCAAAAATGGAATCAGGTGGCCCCGTGGCTCAGAGGGCAGTAGAGGACTGAGTCAACGTTGTTGATGTGGCAAAAAACCACGCCCGGCCGCCTTTGTCTCTCCAGTGCCACCGTTTGTCGAGTCTATCTCGGATCAAATGTGTGCCTCTGATATGGTGGCCGCGTGAATTGAATTCGGGTCGGCGGATTCGTAGCGGAGTGCTCGTACCACTCCTCCAACCGCTCCGTTCACTCTCAGACAAGGGCTGGGATCACCCATGTCTCCTTGTAACAGACTGCTCGGCACATGAAGGGGTGGGTGGCCAGCACTACGCCCTGCCGCCTTTGTCTCCCTAGTGGCGATATTTACCTGTGGCCTCTCTATGTACTATGAAGGGCCATTGCCTGAAACGTCACATGTAATATACTTTTTCCTTGTCAAGGCAGCCTTAATTTCTAGTCGATTTAAAGCTTTCGTGACTGCAGGGATTCATATTCTTGGTTCTTTCGGTAAAGTCGTATAGAAGGGAAATACGAAAATAATAAAAATAAAACATAATAAAATTAAACATAAGATAATATTTTTATAATGTTTAATTTGTATTATTTTATTATTTCCCTTCTACGTGACTTTACCGAAAGAACCAAGAATATTAATTTCTAGTGTTGAGTTTTTTTAAGTTTTTTTATTGAAGCTGATAAATCCGATGAGCTATGAAGACTTTCTCATTCACAGGTGTCCAACCCAAGCTGCTGTAACATTGCAGAGGAAGCCACGGTATATATTGCCACTTCAATACCGCATAGCCAGGCGGTGTTGACTACAACACGCCTGGAATCCAGCACTGTAGAGTCAGCAGCGAGGGTTGATGGATCACTCATTTACCGTGCAAACTCGCTTCCAGTTGGTGTCGAGAAAGGTGCCATACTCTGGCTTGCCAGGAGAAGGCGGTAGAGTGAAATGTGGACGAAACTCCATCTGCGTCCATTTGTACGGGGATAGAATGTTGCCCTGCCGTGCGCGTGGGCTGTCTGCGAGTGCTCCGAGTTCCTCCCACTTGCAAACACGTATTCGTTGGTGCGATAACATCTGAATATATAAAGGACCCGCAGAGCTTGGGCAATTGTTGCTCTAAGTTCACTCGCGCACCTTCCTGCTTGTCTCCGGCTCATTGCATCTCTCAGTCGGTATCTGTGTTCAATGGTGAGTGAATACTGTGCGTGTTACAAGTTTAAATTGTTGTGTACTGGTCTTCATCCAGTAGTATAACTTTAAACGGCTATGCCCAGTGACATCCAATCAACCACTGGCCCCATAAATTTACGGGGGCCCAATTATGAACATATAGGGGGTTTTATATATTTGTTCTTCTTGGATGAATATATTTTATATTTAATTAGAGTAACAAATCGGGATAAATATGTGCCAAATATCTTTCTCGCCCGTTTAGAACATCATTAAAATGTTAAATAGGTCACTAAGACATGATCATCTACAGGGTGGCCACGGAGCTTCTTTGGAATGAACAGCTCTGGGTGCTGCTCCCCAGTCGAAGCCCACGGCTTGATCTCTGCCCACGTTCTCCTTGACAGATTCTTCCGAGCGGATGGTGGCTGCATACTATGGAAGAGCAGTTCGGCACGGCTGTTTTGAGTTGCTCAATATTTGTCAATCTTAAGCGTCAGGTATTCTCCTTGATAATTCCCCAAAAGGCAATTCACCAAAGGGAATTATTATTTCATGTTGCGGTTGTCAGGTCTGAGCTTCGGGGCAGCCACATCAGATCAAATCCTCTCCAAATCCATCGTCCACTGAATTCCTGATTCAAATAATTCCCGAATTGCGAATGCGAATTGCCCCGGAGGCCCCGTCATGCAAAGGGCCTTTGTGGCCACCGTTTAGCATTTATTGGGATGCGATAGGACGCGGACACTGAGAGCGGACACGAAAGCAACACTCTTGCTTGCTATGTGTGCGAGTTTATGTACAGGTGACAGTTTACAGGTGTGGAGGCAGGGGGGGGGGTAGAACAGTAATTTTTCATGAGATGCGAGCTCACGTTCGCACGACACCGCACGTTACAATAGCACCTTCGAGACGCACCGCCGACGCGTGCATTAATGCCGGCAATGAGAAATACAGCAGCGATAATTAGAACAATAATAAAAGCAGTAACATTGAATATACTTGATGCATAGTCTGCTCCCTGATGTGCAACATTGCAACGCAAAGTAACAATGCTCAAAACGTTGACCAGCGAGATGCTTCGTGAGTGCCTAACGAAAGACCCCCTCCCGTCGCAGGAATGTGGAATTGACCCCGTTGGCGCAGGGTTTGCCACTCCCCACCCTTTCGTCCGACAACCACAACCACATCACCTCGGCGATGTGTGCCACCGCTGGCGGCGAAATAATCACCAAAGCCATCGAACAAACCTCGACAATTGGCAGTAATTGAATGGGGGTGGGAGGGCCTTTAACTTTTTCCGAGTTCATGGACGCAATCATTGATCTGCTTACTTAAAATCTCATTATTGTTTCAAGTGCCTACTAAGTACGACTGACCAGTGACCCTCTTGAGAGTGTTACACAGCAAGTCTTGGCCCATTCTCTCTCCCTGGGGAGATTGTGCTTTCGAACAAACATTGGCCTTGCTTCTAAGTCGCAACACATTGAGAAGATCCCTTGCAAATGTCTGGATCATTACATTGAATTCGCTATGTCTACATTTATAGCCGCGATGTCCATTTTCATTGAACATCCTTTGCAACCAAGGGTAAAAACAAAGTTTCTGATGCACATCTAAACATCGCATTAACCGATCATAAAATCTTAATGAAATCATCAAAAAACACGCACGCGCCTCTTTTAAGTGGGCTTTAGACTCGATAAAATCCTCGAAAAAACGAAACTCGATCAATAAACACGGATGCACGTGAGCTTAATTCACACCCAAAGCGAAAATCAGATTTCATCTCGTGGACTCAAAAGCTGATTTGACATTAAACAGATGAACGCTGCCCCGTGTAACCGCGGCAGAATCATCAAGACCACAGTGCTAATTTAGTCAGCAATTCATGGTTCGTATTACGGAAAGACTGGCCCTCACCATGGCAATGGGTAATTTCCACCATTTGGTCCGATGAAGGGCCACTGAGTGCCACACGATGACCCTTGTGAAAAGGGAGACTCTCAGACTCCGAGATTTCTCTTCCTCCTCCCCCCAAACCCCCCCCCAAAGCCGACACAACGTACCGCCCGACAACAATTCTCTCCGTCCCCCATGATCGTTAATCGCAGGCGCATAAAAGGGGGCATAATTAATAGCGCGCTCCGAGAAACGCCACTAAGTAATTATGATCGCAGCTGCAAGAGCGCACGGGGGCCCGTGTTAATCACTGGGACGTGGCGTCAGCTCCGCGCAGCGAAATCTCTCAACACCCCCCCCCCCCCCCCCGTTTAACACGTAGCAGGCTTTCGCGACCAATATTATTCATAATCAACGTTTTTGGGTTTAGATCGCGTTATTTATAAATGCGTCGTAACCCTCCACCACCCGACACGGCCAATCAGTAAAAAAGTGTCACGTTGACAAAAAGACAAATAGTTCACTGCTTTAGCCCACCGGTGTGTTGAAGCGTGAAACCACAACATTTACAATTTTTGAGTTGAACGACGTTTCGCTGGTAATTGCATCCAGCATCATCGGGCAATTCTCCCCCCCACACCACACACACCGCTGCTGTGTGCTCACGGAGCCACGGCGCTAGCACCCGTCGACTGGCCACCCTTGTCGCGTTCGATTAGATTTCACCCACGGCTCGCGTCTCCATCGATATCCGTTGCAATTCCTCTCGTCCTCGACCGTCGAAGCAGCCTCAGTGAGGAATGGGCCCCTCGCCTCCCCCCCCCCCCACGGCGGATGCGAGAAACAGGGACCCTGGCCGTGAGCTATTTTACGAAGCGAACTTTTTATTTATTTTTACCAGGTGAGGCCCACTGGGCCGTAGATATCTTTTTTTGAGAAGTGGCCTGGCCACAAATAGTAGCTCAACGAAGTGGCTTATGACCGTGTGTACATTTATAGCAGCCAAATACTCTATTGCACGTTGATTCTAAATGTGAAGAGAAAAATGCACGCGACCACGGGGAAAGAGAGAGAATCACGCAAACTGCAAATGTACAGCAGGCGTCAGGGTCGTGATCGAATACACGACCACTTGCATATCAGACGAGGAGTTCGCATCTCGCCACCGTGACGCCCCAAACACCTCCGCGTTTTTAGCAATCATAAGATACCTTGAGCTTTTATGGTCAAATAGCCTTTGGAACAAGCTTGCCTGAGAATCTGAGGGCATCAGATTTAGTGAATGGTTTTAAACGAAATCTTAAAACATACCCTTTTAGATTGGCGTTTAATTAGGATGCTTTGTGTTAAGTGTGTATTATGCATTTTATGATACTGTTAGTTCATTATAATGCGATGTAAAAAAGAAATATGCGACATTCTTATCGCTGTGTACATTGTGTCAGTCGCTTATATTTTCTCTTGTAAAGCACTTTGTATTGCTTTATTTGCACGAATTGCGCTAGGTAAGTAACGTTTGATTGATTGCAGTTCCCAATCACTTACATCTCAAAATCTGAGATTGATAAACCTGAGCCGTGAACCACGGTTGGGTCTTGTTGAGGGTCAGAGTTAATTAATGTTGTACCCAAAGGCGGCTCAGCGGCTTCGCTTAGTTTTTTGAACCACAGCCGTACCCGGGACATGCCATGCCATCGTAATCAATACTCAAAGCATAATCAAATCGGACCGGTGGCTCAGTGGTAGAGCGAGTGGCTTGTAATCGGAAGGATACGAGTTCGAATTCTGATTGGGGCGGTCGATTAAACGAGTCTCGCTTTGCGGGGAAGTCAACGGTGGTTGTTCTATAGACTTGGCCATGCCCTATGAACGTCCACTGTCTCAGGTGATGTAAACAGGAGATGAGCACCAATGCCTCAATGCTCAATGTTGCGAGGCAATCGCTTTGACGTTGACCCGAAGGGGCTGTGCGTGGGTTCGCAAGAGCCTGTGACCGTTAACAAAGCCGGCATTTGATTACCCCATCATTATTACATAAAGGAAGTATTTAATTCCTTCCAAGCCAGCCCAACCTGCCTACGACCACGTCGGCGTCCTATCGTCAGGATTACGTAACACAATTGTTGCACTGCCAGGACTGAACGCTGCCAGGATTATATAACACAATGCTTGGTAATCTGGGCGAATGATGCGACTTAATAATTTGTACGAATCGCGATAGTAACTGCGCTTTCTCGCCCCCCCCCCCCCACCACTTGCACCCGGGGTGTGTTTCATAATCAATCGGGTTGCGTACGCACGTGTATAACTTTAGTGACAATTTTTGTTGCGCGTATGTCTTTCCGGAGGACCTCCTAATCCGCCCAATGACCCCGCAAATGTCAATTATTTAGCCGGGAAAAGTATCACTGACTCTCAATGCCTACTTCAGGAGCATCCTGCACTGGGATGTTGGGTTTCTTTCTATTGAGCATTGCCACTCTGCCAATGCCATACAAAGCGATGTTATAATGTGGATTCAAAGTTCTAGCCTCAAATAAACTCAGCCATTCATACCATCAGGGGTCAACCAAAATGAGTACAATTTTAGCGGGAAGCCAACAGTGGTTGTGCGATAGATATCCATGCCCCTGAAAAATAAACGTAGAATTTCCACCATGGACTCTATAAGCAGAGGTGAGGTGGGCCGATGGCTCAGGGTACAAAGATGCTGAGACCCTGAGTTCAAATCCAGGTTCCAGACGTCCTGTTTAGTCACCCGGTGGCTGAAACCAGGTTCCAGCCGCCCGGTGATTAAGCATGGTTCACGGGCGCAGTGATTTGATGGTCGTGGCTTTGTCACCAATGACTCAACAAAAATCAATAGGCGTTACATTTAGCTTTCAAATTAATTTGATTACTCACCAGCTCTGAGCAGAACAACAACAACAACAACAAATATTGATTCGACTACCAAGCTGCAAAACATTTCTCCGCAGCGGGTCAAGCGAGAAAAACACAAGACCTGGTGTAGAAATTTCTTTTTTTAAATGCAGAAGTCATTCTGTGATGTCTCATCGCACAGGCCACTCTCTTACACGTGGCGGTCGCGCTGCTCTGCGAGAGCTCCAAATGGACGCTTCGTTATGCGACGCGACACCGATGCAGGGTTGCCACCTTGTCCACACAATAGGTGAGAGTTGGTGAGGTGCCATACCCCGGCAAAATGTGCATAGCGCCTGCTCCATCGGCACGGGATGGAGTATTGCTCCTTCGCACGCTTGGGTTTTCTCCGGGTGCTCCGTTTTCCCTTCACGTGTAAACACGTATTAAATGGCTAATATAACACCTTCATATATGTAGAGGATCCCAGAGCTTGGGGTGGGCACCGGCTCCCTGTGTGGCTGCCTTCATCGCTTTCCTGTGCATCCTGTATGTTTACCGTTGAGCGCCGCGTTACAAAGTTGAATTATTATTTCCACATGAAAGTAAACAAAAAACAAAACATTGACCAGCAGACGCCCTCCTCATGCAGAGCGAGCTACAGACCAAGCATGGTGCTCCAGTGTTTTCAAATAGACCAGACAAATGGCTTGGATCTTTCTTGACTGATAAACCTCCATCATGTGCATCAGTGTTTCACACAAAATACTGGTTTTCAACACTTTATTGCCTTGCCCTTTTTTTTACCCTATAACGGTTCAGAGGCTATGCCTGTGAGATTTGACTTTTGCTTTTGGCTTTACGAGGCTCTGCGTACATCAGTGCACACAAGAGCCCTCTCTGTACGCTGCGTTTTCCAAACTCCGACGGGATCTGTCTGCGGCGTAGCGCGGCCCGCTGCGGGAATGTGGCCGTGTGGTCTTTTTTTTTTTGGGTAGCAACGAAAAATAAACATCGCCGACATTATTTATGAACTAGCCTCAGTGGCCCCCGTTCATCCCCGGGAATTTATGCAAACGTAATTTTTTGGCGACAGCTAATTTTTTTTTTATTTTACCGACGCCCAGAGCTCGAATTTCTCATGGAACATTTTCCTGGCATTCCCTCCCCCCCCCAACCCGCACCATCCCGCCAACGGCACCACCCACCCAAAAACACATCCGGGCGACAACAGACGGAGGGAAATATTTTCCAGAGCTCAGCACCGGACAGCTCCAGGCGCGAAACGAAGCACCCCTTGCCGATGCCGCAATCGTAGCGTCGCCTTGCAGGGGGTCCGGAGGTAATCCTCTTTCTTCTTGGCCACAGGCAGGGTCGAGCATCCGGATCTATTCAGGGGCACGCCGCGCCTGTGTATCGGTGGAAGGGGGTCGGGGGCGGACGTTTCCAACACACACGAAGAAAAAAATCCACAACGTTATTATTCCTAACCCCGAGGCACAATCTGCCACACAGCAGCGGAGGTAATGCAACGACGACGGTGACTCCAGACCGACAGCCACGTTTGCGCCCGTCGCGTTCGCGCGAGCCGCTTGCGATCGCGACCGAGCGCGTGCGCGCGCGGGCTGCATTCGTCTGCAGCGCACGCGCGCGTAGGCGCGAGCATTCCCTTTTAGCCGGGGATAATATATGGCCCAGGGCTATTAGGAAGCGCGGCGCGGGGCTAACGACGTGTCTGGCTCGAAAAAGTCTCCCCCACTTCCGACGCCGACACGATCGTACCGGGTAATCATTTAAGGCTGAGTCGGCATAGGGGAGGCCCAGGACAGTCACACATAGTGTGAATGACTGCGAGTCACGCCTAGGCGCGAACAGGATTGTGGTGCAGCGCCAAGCCACTGCGCCGCTCACACCCCCCCACACACACGAAGACGCACAACAACAACGGCCATTCCCCACTGAGTGACGGTGATGTCACCAGTTCACTTTGTGCCAGGCTAGGTACACTTTGAGGCCACCACGTCAAGTGATGGTGGCCTGCTTGCAGTCGTTCACGGGACGCACACAGGCGTTATTGCCTGACTGGCTGAGATGACTGGCAGATGCACCACCTGTGTCTCACCACTGTGCCAACACATCAAGACAAAGGTGTCCCATGTGGCTGACGTCTGCAAATGCTGTTGGCGAGTAGCACCTACAAAGGCCGATACGCTACATCAGAGGGTGGGTGGGTGGCCAGCACCACGTCTAACCGACTTTGTCTCCCAAGTGGCGATGCTTACACACCGCACAAGGTACTCATTCGAGGCTGAGTCGACCTAGGGGAGGCCCAGGATCGGTTCAGCTAATCGTCACTGTGTGTTGGTGATCGTGAGCGAGAATCGAACTCGGGTGGTCAGGTTTCTAGCGCAGCGCGTTAACCGCTGCGTCACCGCTCCCCACGATCAAACGACAACCGCCGTTCACCACGAAGCGGCGGTGACGTCACCGCGGCTCTTGTGCCAAGCTACGTGCGCTTTCAGGCCAAGCACCGCTGTCCAATAACAGTGGCGAATATTTTTAACAGACCCAGGTGCCGTGGGTTGACTGCCTGAGATGACTGGCAAATGTGCCGAATGTGCTCCCCTCTGTGCCGACTTGCTGCGTTGTAGCCGCTCGTCGTTGTGAGCGTCGCTCCCGCAAGACGCGCAGACCCACGCTCGCACGGACGGACAGACGCGTTCGCACGGACGCACGGACGGACGGATTGCTTGCCCTCTACGACGCCCCACGGTCCGCCCAGACTCCTCCATGCATGCGGGCGCCCTGCAGACGGGCGAGGCGATCCCCGTGGTCCCGCGCGGAGTCGTGCAGTCCCCGCAGGGCCCCCTCGAGGGAGGCGTGGAGCCGCGCCGCCTTCAGCAGCGAGTCGGACATCTCGGCGAGACTCACGCGCATTCTGCTCGCCGCGACAAATCGGGAGGTCAGGGGCGACACGGCGGAGAATCGTCGGGATCAGAATGTTTATTTAGAGCGGAGGTGGAATTCCGATGAGCTAATGAAGCTCTTTTTTTTACAGATGTGCAGAGTAGGGGGGGGGGAGGTTCAGCAAGTTACAACAGCAAACGATACGAAGAAAACGATAGGAGTGCGAAATAGTGAAAATGGTAATCAAGTCAAAGACGAAGGCAGGTTAGGCCCATGAAACTACGTATCTCTTATTCTTGGTTCTTTCAGTAAAGTCACGTAGAAGGGAAATCATCATTAGGTGTGAAATCCACAGCAACCTTGTTTCAAATTTTCTTGCTGTGGATTTCACACCTGATGATGATTGCTTGTGTTGCAGTCGAAACGTCGTGATAATTGATTGTTTCATGTTTTTATTCTTTTATTGTTTCCCTTCAACGTGACTTTACCGCAAGAACCAAGAATATGAATCACTGCAGTCACGAAAGCTTTAAATAAAAATTTACGCAACTCTTTTTCAGAAACAACTTGGCCATGAATGAGTGGCGTCACTGCACCCCCTAAACCCTCTTCTCTCGGCTCGTGTCAATTCGCCCATTGCAGTAGAGTGGGCAGGTTGCTTGAAACACTCGAATTAACTTCAGTTCCCTCGTGCGGGATGACCACTTGGGGCCGGTTGCCGTTCTTAATGTCTGCCAGCGCAAAGATGATACCGTCAGGACTGGAATCCTAATTGAGCTGTGAATTTATTCAATTACCTGCACGCGCCGCCCTTTGAGTTGCGATGCGGAGGTGAGGCCGGCGGTAATTATAGCGGGGGGCCTGTGCGTGCCAACGTGCTGCGGCTGATCCGCAAAAATCCTGAGGTGGAGCACTTCATCTGCCCGGAATTGGAGCATGAAAAGAGGGGCCGCGTTGGTTCACGCGCGTGAAGCAATTACGCGCTCCAGGGGATCACGGAGTTGAATTCCTGCCGGTGTTTCTCTTGCGTTCTTTCTTCCCCCACCGCGCAGATCGGATCGTCGCTCTGGCGTGTAATCAGTTGTGTTAAACTGAGGACGAAGAGTACCATGTAAACATCCGATTCGCGATACAACCAAAAAAGTAAAGTTATTAAAATCGGAGAAATTATCTCGCTTTAAAAAAAATTCGCACTGAACTAATAATGGGCGTGTTACCACCGACACTCGGGTTTGTGTTTATAATCGTAAAAAAATATAACATTGCGGCCTCCCTGCCGGGTGAAAGACTCCTCCCACACGAGTCATCCACGATGTTCGTTTCAGCATAACATCACCACAACTAGTCACCGCTGATGACAAGCCGGGGCTGGAAATCGAGCTCGGGTCGTTGGGTTTATAACGGAGCGCGCCAACCATGACGCCTCTCCTCTTCTCCCTCTTTTACGTTCGCGCAGAAAGCATCGTTCATGATATTCTAGGGCGATAAAGGAACTGCATATTTGTTTTACTCCCCTTGCAAAATACAATACAAGTTGGTGTTTCGGGCGTACGGTCTCCGCATCTCACTGCGCTGTACAAACAGTTGGGTGGGAGGCAGTGGCGGCTCCTGCAAAATCTCTCAGGGGGGGCAAATGTCTGGATGATTGATAAGGATAAGGTCCACCCATGCAATGGATAAATTAACAGCTTAAGCATATAAAGGCAACTTCACTTCTTTAATATTAATGAAAAATAAAGTGACTCTTACAATACATCTTGTTTGTTTCTATACTCACTATTATTACAATCCACTCAAGTTTCTTTTATTAAAGATTCCACTAGGTGGCGACAAATTATATTGTTGGATGAAACGTGCTTACGTATGATGACGTAAGCACGTTAGTGCGAGCCCTCCCGGAAGCCATAGATAATGCATTGCAGCGCCCCCCGTTCGAAAAAAAACATCTTTGAATGTAAGTCTATGGGGCCACTCGGGGCGATTCTCAGCCGGAGTGAAATCGCCCAAAAAAAGGCGGTACTCCACAGAACGTGACATGACGCTGATTGGACTATATCCAGAGGCACAGTGACGGCATGCGTGACTCTGTGGTTGAATGACATTGGTGGTGCGTCGCCCAATCGCCCTAATGAAGAAACCGCCCCTGGTGGGAGGCCACAAGTTAGACAGGGAGAGAAGATTGTACGTGCGAGTGTTGCTCAAAACAAGTCGAGGTATAGCAGCAGTCACAGGCAGAGAGGGAGGAAGAGGCGTTCATAGTCCAAACTTCAACAGGCTCAACACTCGCTCTATTCCTCGTGTTGAAATTAACTGATTAAAATGAACCAACGATGTGAAATCAAACGTGCATATTTAATTCATAGCCCCAACCTGTAAACAGTACGTGGGGTTATCCGTGTAGCACTAATACGAGAGTTCAAAACGTTCTGATAAAGATAATTTTGAAGATTAAAAAAGACATGAACATACACGAGCGTAAATGTTTGTCTTGAAATGTACAACTTTAATTAAGAAGCCGAAAAGTTTTGCTCAGTGTTGGTACCTGGGTATGACCCAGGATTCGGACCACTTGAGCTGGTGACACTGCTGCGATATTGGATTCGCATCCAGGGTTTAATCATCTTCATCGTAGCTGTACATATAGCGGCGGCGTCCGTTCATGCGAATTGCATCTGACAGTTGCCGAGGAGCCACAGGCGAGCTGCTGGAAGGTAGCAGCCATGCGGTGCGCCGACGCTACCGATATTTGTCCAAGTTCTACGATCCTCAATATATCAAAATGTTTCGTGCCGATGGCTGAGTGCGATCCGCATCACCCGGAAGAAACCCCTTACGTGCGAGGAGGTATCTCTGTAAATTAAAGCTTCACGGCTAAGTCTCAAGATGACTTCTCAAGACCGTTCCAGCATTGGGCTGTTTGTGACCAATCCAGTTATTGTACGTGATGAGTGTTTAGCTAATGCATGGGCATAATATGACTTTGAAAACCCCCCACCCACCTCCCATGCATTTCACGATTAGCACTATTCGCATTCCTGCATTTTCCATAAATATGCTAAATTCTTCTTCATATGCAAATTATTTTGTCAAGACTCTCTTCCTCCTCCCTTACAGCTTAAATAGACACTCCAAGCCTAAGACGTGTCATTTAGACTCTGTCTTATCGACAGACATGTTCTTCACCTGAGGACGGCTGCTTGCGTTGTGGCCAAAACGTCGTGAGAATTATTTTATTATGTTTTATTTTTATTATTTTATTACTTTCCTTCTATGTGACTTTACCGAAAGAACCAAGAAGATGAATCCCTGCAGTCACGAAAGTTTTAAATCGAAATTTATTTTTTGTATATTTTACCAGGTAGGGCCAACTGAGTTATATACAGTAACTATTTTTCAGAAGTTACCTGGCCACAAATGATAGCTCTACGAAGTGGATGATCATGCTGATATTTATCGCGGCAAATACTCTAAAACGCATGTTTCTAAATGTAGAGAGAAAAAATACAGAGATCCCCCCCGGAGACAAATCCACGCGACCACGGGGAAAAAAAGACACGCAGACTCCAAATATACGGCAGGCGTTAGGGTCGTGCTCGATCGAACGCACGACCTCCTGTGTAACCAGGCGAGGTAGTTAACATTCCACCACCGTGGCACCCCACGAGCTGGCACTACCAACTCCTGGCCGACACCTCACTGCCACAAGCCTTACCGACCTGCTGGTGGTGGGTTTGGTGGACCCATCCACCACGTGCCACGCTCAAGCCTTGCTTAAAGCGTCCGAGCGAGATCGGGCGAGATCTAAACAGCCGCGCAATCAGTGGCGAGTTTCTCGCAGCTCGGCTCGCCTCGGCGTGCAGCTCACAGAGCGAAAGGCAGTGTTTTTTTGGGGGGCGCCACGCTAACGAGATGTTAACTACCTTGCTCGGTATACAGGAGGTCGTCAGTTCGGTCTGGACACCGACGCCTGCTGTATATTTAGAGTTTGCGTGTCTCTCTCCCCGTGTTCGGCTTGGACTTTTCTCCGGGTCCTCCGTTGTTACCCCTCACATTTATAATCAAAATGCGTTTGGAGTGTTCGGCTGCTATACATTTCCACATGATGATAATCCAACTTCGTTGAACTATTATTTGTAGCCAGGTCGCTTCTGCACAACAGCTATACCGTATAGCTCAGTAGCTATTACCTGGTAAAATAAAACAATTAATTCGTTTTTACTGGCAAATGAGGTTCCCATAGTGTAGATGCTTGCCCCGAGCTCTCATACTCTGATGGTGCATTGTCTTTGAGTTGTGCGCCTTTTGGCGTCATCTGGTCCAACCCATGTGAGACTAGGCTCTAAGGAAAGCTGTCTCGGGTGTGGACCAATCAATTTCAAGGACAGTGCACATTATCAGAGTTATGTTCTTTTGTTTGTATTATGACTGCAGGTATTGCGGTCTATGCAAACATGACTCCTTGTAAAAAGGTGTCAGTTTTGTTGCCAGATAGAAGGGTAAAAAAACAATTATCATATTTTTACCGGCAAATGAGGTTCCCATAGTGTGAGTTAGTTAAAGTAAGTTTTCTGTGACATACGACACCGATGAACAGCGCGCGCGACACCAATCACCTGGCCGCCGCCTTGCCAACGGCGTCTCGCTCTTCCAGGGTGTCGCCCGCGGCCCCCTCGAAAGCTGCCTCGACTCGAACGACTCCCCGCTGCAGCTCGCCGTGTTCTCCACGCAGCGCGCTCAGCGACGCACGCAGAGCACCGGCGAACGAGCCGTGCTCGCCCGCCTCGGCCAGCACCGTGTCGCGCACGCTGGACAGCACGAGCCCGTAGTCGTACACCACCCGGCGGACCCGGTCCATCTCCTGCCTCGTAGCCGGGCGGCACTTGCCCTCCCAGGGGCGCGCGGGGCCCGCCGTCTCGATGGCGAAGGAGATGCCGCAGCGGTCGCTCCCGCTGCCGCTGCCGCTGCCGCTGCCGAAGACCTCCGCCGAGTCCGTGATGAGGATGGGTTCTGAGCGATGGTCCTGGCGACCCGGTGGCACGACGCTCGCGGAATTATCCGTCCGTTGATCGCGAGAAGCAGTGGTCGTTGTTGATGATGATGATGTTGTTGCTTTTGGAGTGGTGGCAGTCGTGGTGGTGGGTCCATCGTGGTTCAGCGAGCGCCGAGGTGTAATTAACGGGCGAGGAGAAGGAGGAGCTACTGCCTGCGATTGGAACCACGCGGAGGACAACGCTTCGAGTCCCGAGCCAGAGCCTCCGTCGTTGTCGCCGTCACCGCTGATGTGGCTCACGGCCCACGGGACGCAGAGAAGGAGCAGAGCCACGGCTCGGCAGCTCCGCGAGAACAGCATCATGAGGACCTCCTTCCTAGGATGAGCCGGCAGACGACGGCAACAGCTTGGGGCTGGGTGAAGTGCGCCTCGAAAACGATACCCTGAGCGGAGTGTCCGTGTGTTTTTTTGCGCAATACGGAGAGTTAAAGTTGGTGCGGTGCTTAAAATGTCCTGCACTAAATGTTTACCCCCTGTTGATTTTACGGTTCCAGAGCTGTTATCAGAAGTCTGAAAGACCGAAACGCCGATAGACTTTCCCCCCCTTAACAGTAGAGACACGTCAGGAAGAGAGATCGATTTACTTGGTTAATAACAGCTCGATACAACAATACGAACCGCCCTTACGGTCAAATGAAAGTTAGACTGGACTTCTTTCAAAAAAATACCGAGCAGTCTAAAACAATAACGAAGCATAAATATTAAAAGAAGTTAGCGTGAACATACATATATATGTGCACGTGAAAAGGCAGATAGCTCGCTCTTAAGAGCGACTACATCTGTTTGTCATAACCGAATCGATTAGAGCGCAAAGAACGAGCGGACACACACGGAAAGAATGCAAGCACTTCACCGAGTCGATAGGTTTTCTCACGGCACTGGCCAACATCGGAATTCAGAGGCTGCGAAAGCCGCTGACGATGGCCACTGCAAGTTACACAGACGGTGCCCTGATGTCCTCTCGATCACCCAACCACGCGTTCACGCTGCTATCCAAATCGAGACCTTTCCCCGCACGCTGCGTCTCCCGTTCACCGGCGTCGACCTTTGACATCCACACGCCAGCATCACGACCATGAGGTTTCACTGTTAATATTATTGCTTGCCACGTAAATAAAAAAAAACAGTCTAAAACCTGAACCCCCACACCGTTTGATGAGTTGTAGTGGCGGAGCGGAAGTCGGCGAAAAAGTTTTGGGTAGCAGCGCAGGCAGATACCGGCGCGTCTGTCTAGACAACAAAGCCAAAGATTACCCCCAGGATAGCCTCAGCAGGCTGTCGGGGCAAGTGTGCTGTTGGCGAGTAGCAGCACCTATGAACACGAGGGGGGGTGGGATTGCGTGGGTAGCCAGCACCACGCACGAGACAACTCCGCACACACTACAACGCATCGACTCCGTTACAAGCCGCGTGCCTCTATTGAGCCATGTGGTAGAGGGAGATGAGAAGGGAGGGGGTAGTGGGAGGAGCGGTGGATTGTGAGGGGCGTTAAGTTGTGGAGGAGAGCGGTGTTTTTTTTCCCTCTTCGTGTTAGGGCACGGGGTGTGTTTGTGCTGACCAAAGGGGGGTGGATGGTGGTGGCCGCGCTCAGCCAGTAGCAAACCAAGTGAAAGCTTAGCGCCCCAAAGGCTCAATGTGCCCTGCATTCATGGGCAATATATTAGCTTAAATTCAAATAACTGCATCGTAATGTAAACACAATAAGCTAATTACGGTGACAAGCCGGTCAATATCTCTTGTCCATTGTATCTGCATCTCTTTTTTCCCGTCTCACGATATCGCTGTGTTTGTCTGCATTTCTATTATCTCACTACAAACTGTATATCTCGCCTATCTGTCTCTCTCTCTCCTGTCGTCGGATTGAGAGATGTTTGTGAATCAAGAGGTCGATGCCCAAAAAAACATGACAGTACTGTTGAGGGCCCCATTGTGGTAACACCCCAACTGAGCACCACCACTACAAGACCGCCACCTGAGTTGGATTCCCTGCAATGGTTGGCAACTGACATTTGACTCGCTTGTGGGCCCTCCCCTAGGTGGACTCAGCCTTAAACACGAGTGCAAGCGCTGGGGCAGACACGTGGCTTTGGCGTGGTCTTGTCCACAATGCCCTTTATTCGTGTGACGTTCTGGCCTTAGGAGGTGCTCGCTAACACTAAATATATAATGAACATGTACGGCTAAACAGAAGTTGATGTGTGTGTGTGGGGGGGCTGGGATAGCACTGAGTTGGGACGTGAAAAAGGCGGACCAGCAGAGGCCCGCTATGAAGCTAAAGTATTTAGTGAAAAGCTATGAAGAAGGGCCATTGTCCGAAACGTCAGCTATTACATATATTTTCCCCGTTTATGGCAGTGTTATTGACGAATATGTTGAGTTTTTTTTATATATGAAGGCAAAATGATCGCTTTACAAATGAGGGCCTGTTGCTTTTTCTCTGTTGGCGAGTGGGAGTAACAGCTGCTGTGTGTGAGTGCACGTGTGTGTGTGTGGGGAAGCCTTGTTTGTGTAAGTGGGCAGCAGTGGCATATCGTGTTTCCTGCACTGCCCTTACAGTTCCCAGCAAACCTAGGTTCCATTACTGGTCCCACGCACTCCATCAGAGGGGCATTGTAATATACGGTACGTATGACGTGCAGGATTGGAACGCCTCCAGGTTGACTCAGCCTAAAATCGGTGTCTTCCACCTATGTAGGTAATACCAAGGGGGGGGGGGCGCAATGGTTAGCGAACTTCGCTTTGTACCTGGCCACATGAGTTCGATTCCCGGGCGGCACTAACATCAGCGGCGAGCGATTCCTTAACAAAGGCCGGACCACCCACACCCCCCCGACTCACACCCTTCCACCAGCCTGCACTCACCAGTACGGTGAAGTATGGTTAGGTGAGACTCCCATGACCGAAGTGAAATGTGCGATGTCGTCGTCCAGCCGCGACAAACTGCACTCGTGTTTTCTGATTCAAAATGTCTGCTACGGTATCGTCAATTCAATGTGTCTTGTGGTTTTTAAATCCTTTATATTAAGTTCGCTTGCTTGCTTGCGTGCTTGCGTGCTTGCGTGCTTGCTTGCTTACGACCGTGCAAATCTTTCGGTCGTTTTTTAACCCACTTCCCGTGATCCAATCGAGCTGACATTTTGCACACAGACTCGTTGTGCGAGACAATTTATTTTCGTGAAATTTTTTCCCCTAAATTTTACACTTTTTAGGACAAAAATATTATATTTAATTACCAATTGCTTAATGGTGCCATGCAATCATCTGACCCATAGGTGGCAGCCATCTCAAGCCAGAGGACGAGAGGACTCTAGCCGCCACGCATATAAAGGATTTATAGTGAAAAACTTTGTTTTTACGGGTTATACTTATTAATATCTGACGCTCCCATTGAGATGAGGTTCGTAGCGTTAGACCAGGGGATCGACGACCTTCCGCGTGCTGCTCGTTTAATTGACTGCTTTCTTGGCGTTATCTATTGAGGACCAACGTCTCTCGCATTGACCGCACGGCAGAGGTCGCAACCGGGTACCCGATACCCGTACCCTACCCGATACTCGGCTACCCGTACCCGGCCGGGTACGGGTACGGGTAGCCGTTTGCGACCCTGGTGCGGCTGGGTACGGGTACAGGTACGCCGTGAGTCACTGGTGAGTCACCGTTTGTCACTCATTTCGGGTAGGGTACGGATAGGGAACGGGTACCCGTACCCGTACGGGTACCCGTTTGCGACCCTGGTGCAGCCGGGTACGGGTACGGGTAAGGAATCAAAACCCGTTTGCGACCTCTGCCGCACGGTGCACTGCGGCTCTCGTTACTTCCCTTGCCGATCCCCTGTGTGCGACGTTCGGAACGTTTGTTGAGGTGTGTTCTCCATTGATTTCTTCCCCGGGTCTCTCTTGAAAAGGAGACTTTTGGTCTGGATAGGCTCTAGCCTGGTCTAAAAAATAATAATATGCGGTACTAAATTTTGATTTAAAGCTTTCGTGACTGCAGGGATTCATCTTCTTGGTTCTTTCGGTAAAGCCACGTAGAAGGGAAATAATAAAATAATTATTTTTACATAATAATATAAAATTCTCACGACGTTTCGGCCACAACGCAAGCAGCCGTCCTCGGGTGAAGAACAGGGCTGTCGGAAAGACAGCGTCTGAATGTTCTTTACCTGAGGACGGCTTCTTGCGTTGTGGCCTAAACGTCGTGAGAATTGTATTTTATTATGTTTAATTGTTATTATTTTATTATTTCCCTTCTACGTGACTTTACCGAAAGAACCAAGAAGATTAATCCCTGCAATCACGAAAGCTTTAAATCGAATTTCAGCAGCATTGTTTCAACGCGAGATGAGACTCTGAATTTCTTGTGATGGGTGCACCAATGCTGCTGAAATTACGCACTCCCAGAATGTTAGCTAATGGAATGTGTAACAAAAACACTTCAGATTTTTACATGTGGATGGACAAATATGGGAAGAGGACTTCGCACGTGTGGCGTTATGTGTCGGAATAAGAATGTATGCGGTACTGTTCAACACGCAGGCATCCGAGACCAATATGAGTCATGGTAAAGTGGGTTTTTTTTTGTTGTTAGATCGCCTGAATATAAACGCGTCGTATGTGCACCTCGACCCGACGCTTCCAGCCAGTCTGTAAGGTTTGTCACGTGACGTTGTAAACAATGTGCATCGGCTCTTGGACACTCCAGGTGTTTCTGAAGTAGCTACATATTCTCACGTTTTGTTCACGGGACAAACCTTACTCATTGGCTGTGCCTGGTGGTGGCGGGTTCAACGACGCATTTATATTTACGCGATGTGTTTAACGTAATATCGCAACCACCTATTGATGTTACTGAGTGAACATAGGTTTGCAGGGATTCAAGAAACTTGCACCACGTTTCGGGTGGAGATGGGTGTACGACACACATTTACGTGATCTGACCCCCCCAAAAAAACGTGATCATGGATACACAGTACCGTGTTGTATATGTATGTGCTGGGTGGCGCAGTGGTGAGTACAATGTGCTATCAGCATGGTCACATGAATTCAACTAAACAAAAAACGAAACAATGTTTTTATTTTGTATATTACCAGGTAAGGCACACTGAGCTATATGCACTTTTTTTGCAAACGACCTGGCCAGCTCATCGAAGTGGCGGATCAACATGTGGGCGTGTATAGAAATGGGGAGAGAAAATTTAACCCGTAAAAACAAAGTTTTTCACTATAAATCTTTATATGCGTGGCGGCTAGAGTCCTCTCGTCCTCTGGCTTGAGATGGCTGCCACCTATGGGTCAGATGATTGTCTGCCACCATTAAGCAATTGGTAATTAAATATAAAAAAATCCTAAAAAGTGTAAAGTTATGGAAAAAAATTTGCACGAAAATAAATTGTCACGCACAACGAGTCTGTGTGCAAAATGTCAGCTCGATTGGATCACGGGAAGTGGGTTAAAAACGACCGAAAGATTTGCACGGTCGTAAGCGCGCAAGCAAGCAAGCAAGTGAACTTGATATAAACGATTTAAAAATCGGAGGACCCGGAGACAAATCAACGCGACCACGGGGAGACTTTTGACTTTTAAACCACTTTTATTGCCGCCAGCAGCAACAGCACTGGAGGCGATTCCGATATGAAATACAGTCACCAGCAAACAAATGCAAATCAACGCTATACATCCACGCGCTGTGGCGCTAAATGCAGCGCGCACAACACGAAAGAAAAGTCACGTGGTGGTGGTGGTCATCGCGCACGCCACGGTGACGAGCGAGCGCTTGAGAGGTGACAATTAGGGTGCTGTCCACGCTGGTACAGAGATCTTTTCCGGATCCCCAACGTTCGAAGAAGACGTGCACATCATCGGCATGTGTGTGGTACATGGCGTGCTCTAGTCGGAGCCGCGCCTTAAGCAGACCTCTGAACACTGGAAGCACAGAGCAGCCGTCAGTGTCACCTTCCAGCATTTTTGTTCAGAGAGACACGCAAACTCCAAATATACAGCAGGCGTCAGGGTCGTGATCAAAACCACGACCTCCTGTATAGCCACATTTGGTAGTTATTGTCTCTTCACCATGGCGGCCGGTGGCGACATGTTAACTACCAGGCACGGCTAACATCAGTGGCTCGTGGTAATGGACCCAGTCCTTGGCTCGCCATTAGGATCGCGTGCTCAACCCCACAAACAACACAAGTGCATTGACAGTGGCTGTAAATTCGTATATGCGCTGCGTGGCCAACATTGGCCATTAGAGAGACAAAGCAGCCTGGACGTACGTGATATTATCCGCATTCCATCCCAGTTAAGTCACGGCACCCTTAATACGTGCTTACAAACAGTAGGCAACTTGAACAGACATCCTATAATTGTACACTGTAGCTCTTTGCTAACTCAGAAAACAGACTGGGCTTTGG